CTGTAGGTGAGGACTTGCCTCTGCTAGTATGCATACAGCTCTGCAGGTGTAGAGACACCTCTGCAGGTGTATGCATGCAGCTCTGCAGGTGTGGGCATTCCTCTGCCGGTATGCATGCAGCTCTGCAGGTGTGGACACAGCTCTGCAGATGTAGAGACAGCTCTGCAGGTGTATGCATGCAGCTCTGCAGGTGTAGACATAGCTCTGCAGGTGTGCACACAGCTTTGCAGGTGGGGACATGGCTCTGCAGGAGTGCATGCAGCTCTGCAGATGTGGAAGCACCTCTGCGGGTGTGCACACGGCCCCTGAAGCTGTCTTCCCTGCTGTACCTTCCACCCCTTTATGGGCGTTTGCAACCTGAGCCAAAGGGGAATGTAACAAGTCCAGAAATAAGTCAAAACCAGAGCCACTCAAACTTCAGTGGGTGTGCACTGCCTGTTGGGCTTGTTCAAACACAGATTCCTGGCCCCACCCCTGGAGAGTCTGGCTCAGCAGATCGGGGATGGGCCCAGGACTTTGCAATTCTGACAAGTGCCCAGAAGAGGTCCAGTGACCACACTTTGAGGACCGCTGGTCTAGACTTACAGGTCCTTTCTGCCCATTCCCTGCACTCACCTAAGGGTGGTGCCCCTGACTTCTTAGTGCTCCCAGGTAGAAAGGTTTGCTGTCAGCAGTGACATCAGACTAGCCACTGCGGGGGGTACTGACCATGCCTGTGACAGCTGGGCCCAGCCCTGTCCACATGGAATGGTTGCCTAAGTCCAGGACGAAAAAGACAAGCCGGAGGCCTCAGAAGAGGTGTCTGCAGCCCCTGTCCTGGCTGTGCCTTCTGCGGTGGGGGGCTGCTTCCAGGGCTTGCCGTCTGCTTGCCACGGCCCCTGAGTCCTCGCTGATGTGATTGAAGGGGCCACATCACTGGCAGGTGCCTCATTTCACCCTGTACTGCTGCCTGCTCCCCATACGCAAGGGCATAGTTTCTGTCAAACTAATTTGCACTTGTGCAGACTTGTTAGAAACTTTGCTTCTGGGTCTTTCCGTGGGGGATCCTGGTTGGGTGTAATCACCCAGGGCAGGGGATTCAGCGTCTCCCATCTCTTTCCTGCCTTTCCACGATACATAATGGCATGTTGATTCGGAGGGCGGTCAGTAACTGAGGGATGGACTGCTGACTGATAATGCAGTGTATATGTTAATGGGGGAGCTACAGAGCCTGGGGATTGGACACTGCTAGGTCCAGCCATCTGTGCAGCCGTTTCCACCTGATTAAAAGAAGAGGCTTTGGGTTATGACTCGGAGAGGGAGTCAGACGCATCCAGTAATAGAACTCGTCACGATGGAGACCCAGGCTCCGCAGCCCTGGCCTGCTGAGCTTGTATTCTCTTCTTACTGTGCTCCCATGGGAATGATCCTATAAGCAGCTGCTGCTCATCCCTGAAGCCGGGACAGATTTCTTGTGATGACTGACAGCCAGCCAGCAGGTAGCCAGTCTCTTGGGTTTCAGCTCTTGGTGACCTCTCAGGGTGGCTGAGAGGTCACAGACCTGCTGACTTCCTTCAGGGTGCGGGACGGAGCAGCCCTTTCAGGAGTGCAGAGCCAGGAAAGTTTTCAAATGATCTGAGATGTCGTCAGCCCGTTGTTGACGGCCATCAGGGAAAAGGAGGACAGAGGCAACAGGGCAGCAAAGTGACAGGGTTTGGGGTGAGCCTTTCTTAGGAGCTCCCATTAGCCGACGGCCAAGATGCCTCATTTTGCACTCATTTGGCTTGTGACCAAAGTGTCTTAGGACTGAAAGGGATTTGGGACTTTGCTGAATTGTTTATATAGAAAAACCTGGCTGGGCACAATGGCTCATGCCTGTAATCTCAGTACTTTGAGAGGCTGAGGTGGGCAGATTGCTTGAGCCTCAGAGTTCAAGACCAACCTGGGCAACATGGTGAAACCCCATCTCTACAAAAAATAAAAAAAAACAAATAGCCAGGTATTGTGGTGTGCACTTGTAGTCCCAGCTACTTGGGAGGCTGGTGGGAGGATCATTTGAATCTGGGAGGTTGAGGCTGCAGTGAGCTGTGATTGCATCACTGCACTCCAGCCTGGGCAACAGAGTAAGACCTGTCACACACCACACACAGAAAGAAAGAAAGGAAGAAAGGAAGGAAGGAAGGAAGGAAGGAAGGAAGGAAGGAAGGAAGGAAGGAAGGAGGGAGGGAGGGAGGGAGGGAGGGAGGGAGGGAGGGAGGGAGGAAGGAAGGAGGAAGGAGGGAGGGAGGGAGGGAGGGAGGGAAGGAAGGAAGGAAGGAAGGAAGGAAGGAAGGAAGGAAGGAAGGAAGGAAGGAAGGAAGGAAGGAAGGAAGGAAAAAAGCAAAGGAAACCTCCAAAGAATCTCTACGTCTATTGCTGAGATACCAGTTCTCTAGACAGGTGCTTTTCTTGAGTCTGAGGTGGGCAGTTGTATCACCCATGCTGTTGAGAGTTATAAAATAATACAAGAATGGTAAGAGCCACATCTCATAACATAGAGAAATCTGACGACACTGCTTGTACAACACTCAAACAGAAACAAAATTGAAGAGTGCATTTTTAACAATTTATTCTTGAAATAATATCAGACCTACAGAAAGAGTTTAAGAACAAAAGAGGGAGTTCCCATATGTCCTTCACTCAGATTCACTAAATCTTAACCTTGTGCCACACACACATTATTATTTTTTGAGAGTAGGTTGTGTATGTCATGTTGGTGTTAGTCCATTTGCCTTGCTGTAAAGGAATACCTGAGGCTGGGTAATTTATAAAGAAAAGAGGTTTATTTGGCTCATGGTTCTGCAGGCTGTACAGGAAGCATAGTGCCAGCATGTGCTTCTGGGGAGGGCCTCAGGAAGCTTACAGTCAGGGTGGAAGAAGAAGGGGAGCCAGTGTGTCATATGGTGAGAGAGAGAACAAGGAGAGGAAAGTTACAGGCTCCTTTAAACAACCAGCTCTCCTGTGAATTAGCGAGAACTCATTAATCACCATGGGGTTGTCACTAAGCCATTCATGACAGATCTGCCCATATGATCCAAACACCTCCCACCAGGCCCCACTCCAACACTGGAGATTTGGAAGGGACACACATCCAAACCACATCAATGTCTCTTTACTTAAGCGCAAAATATGCTCTCTTACATCACCGTAGTATAAATTTCACATTTGGGAAATTTAACAGTGGCAAAGTACTTCAGTCTCATCTGCAGGCAATATTCCAAATTTACCAGTTGTCCCAACGATGGTTGAAGCACCTTTCCCCACTTGAATCCAGCATCACATACTGCATTTGGTTGTCACGTCTCTAGTCTTTTAATCTATATCTGTTCTTTGGCTTTCTGTCTTTCAAAACATTGATGTTTTGGAGAATGCAAGTCTTCATTTCCTTTAAATTTTCCTTGTGTTTCATTATGAGCACATTCAGTGTATGGATGCCTGGCCAGAATGCTACCTACATGACGCTGTGTCCTTCGTAGGGTACCAGAGCTGGAGGCGCACGGTGTCCATCTGCCCCTCACTGGTGATGTTGACTTTGGTCACCCAGTCAAGGTGCTACTCAGTTTCTCCACTTACGGTTAATGTTTTCCCTTTCAACTAATCAGCAATCTATGGGAGACACTTTGAGACCATGCTGGTATCCTGCTTCTCATTAAACTTTCCCTTAAGGTTTATCATCAATAGGTAACTTTTGCTGAACAGTTATTTACTATGACAGTTGTAAAATGATGAGTTTTAAAATGATTTCCTCCAAATTTATCACTTCGTATTTTATTGTAGAGCCCTCTCTTCTTCCCCATTCACCCACCTACACACCTACCCACCTGCACATTGATTCACCCATCTGTCACCCGTTCATCCATCCATTTATCCATCTATTCATCCACCCATCCACCCACCCATCTACTCATCCACCCATCCACCCACCCACCCACCCACCTATCCATCCACTTGTCCACAGCCAGTCATCCACCCTCCAGCAATCCAGCCAGCCAGCCATCCACTCACTCACCCACTTACCCATCCATTCATCTTTCTTCTACCCATTCACCCACCCATCCATTCATCCTCACATCCACCCACCTATCCATCTACTGATGCATCCACTCATCCATCCATTCACCCACCCATACATCCACCCAGTATCCATCCATCCACCCACCCATCCATCTATCCCCCATCCATCCATCCACCCAGTATCCATCCATTCAGCCATCCACCCATTCATCTATCCATCCATTCACCCACCCACCTAACCATCCACCCATCTACCCATCCAGTCAGCTATGCATCCATCCATCCATCCAGTCAGCTATTCATTCATCCGTCCACCCATCCATTCATTATTCATCAACCCACCCATTCATCCATCCAGTTATCATTAGTATAGATTCATGGATTTCTATTTTATTCATCAGGTTATAATCCATTACTATCCTCATATAGTTTGATGTTCAGATTATCCCAGATTTGGCCAGTGAAAGCTCTTTTAGGCTAGCTCCAGTGACAATATGTATTTTAAATGTTTTTTTAAGTTACACATTGAATAGTTATATTAATAAATAATAAGGTAAATTTGATAATTAGGATGACTCAGATTTTAGGGGTAAATTGATGTCCCTGAAGGCATAAAGGAGGCTGAGAAGCAGTTTCTGTCTCCCTAGTTGGCTTCATGACCTCTGTGCTGTCAGAGAGCTTAGGCTCTGATATCTACCTCATAATCTTACACTGGAACTGCTGTCTGTAGAAGGACTGCAGCAGACATGGTCATGTTACAGTTAGGACTGAGCAGCAGCAAAGCCAGACTTGAGGCCCCTAGACCTGAGTAGCACTGTTAGCTGAATCCAGAGAGCTCAGCCTTCCTGAGCCCAGAAGGGACTGTGGACGTGGCCTAGTGGCTGCCAAGGAGCAGGAGAATGGGAAAACCACTGCCTCCTCGGTTTGCAGAGCAGAAGAATCACGATCGTTACTTCTCTTTGCTTTAGGTTGGCTCCCATCATCTGAGGCTACACAGAGGCCTGGAAGCCAACGCCCCTGCTTTTGACAGGTAAGGATTGTCTGACACCATCCAAGCCTGTCATTGTCATTCTCAGATGTCTTCCTCCCATCAGACACCAGGGATGGGGTGTGACGGGATGGGGAGGACCCTGAACCCTGAATCTAAATCTGCTTTTACAAAATGAGATTTTTACTTGTTCTCAGGTTTCCTGAAGGTAAGTTAAGGAATGTTCAGGCGGCACTTTCTAATTATTTTGTCTCATCAGCTGCTTGCAATGAGGCTTCATCGCTTTGCCCTGGTTAATAAGGGATAATCTAGATTGTAGGATATTTGAAGCTGTTTGGTTTTCGTTTTAAAATAATATAGAATAAATCAGTATAGAAAAGTATAAAGTGAAAAATAAAAATACCCTAAATCCCAGTTACCACTCTCAGAGATTTTACTATTGGTAGTTTTTTATGTCATTCTAGAAAACAATTTTGGTACAATATATATATACATACAACAATATACACACACACACACACACACACACACCACACACACACACCCCTATATATATAAATACAGAAATTGGATCATAACACATCTCCTATTTTTTAGCTTAAGAAAAGCTGAACTATTTGTAATATGTAATTGAAATAATAGCCTCTTAAAATATTTGCTTATTTACTCTAAATACTCAATATTCAAGAACTGTCTTAGTGAATGTAATTAAAATTCTCAAAAGTGATGTTTTAAGTGTTTGAATCATTCTACCTGAATCTTCATTGAGACTTTACATTTGCTTGCATCCTTTCATCAAACATACCACTAGTCACTTGAGCCCAGATGTGACCCCCTGATTAGCATGTTACATATAAAGGGCTTTTTCTGTAAAGAGATATACAGTCAAGTAGAGACAAGCCCATTACCTTTTCCAGCACATTATCAGTGTGTCCTAAGCATTCTACACATGAGATTCTTTTAGTTGACATTGATCTGTACTAAACGATCTTAGGAAATAGTAAACATGAAACTGGAAATGAAATTCTACCTGGCTGGACTTGGTGGCTCACATCTGTAATCCCAGCACTTTGGGAGGCCAAGGAGGGTGGATTGCTTGAGGTCAGCCCTGCTCTACAGATGAAGGAGCCAGCTCAAAGGGAAGGAATCACTTCATCAGGAGAGTTTGGGGGTGGGGAGAGGATAGAGTAATGATGAGGAATAGTGAGTAATAATAATAGCAGTTTTCTTCTGGCCCTGGGCTTTGGAACCATTTGAGAAACACATGGCGAAACCCCATCTCTACTAAAAATACGAAACTTAGCTGGGCGTGGTGGCGCATGCTTATAATCGCAGCTACTTGGGAGGCTGAGATGGAAGGATTGGTTGAATTCAAGAGGCAGAGGTTGCAGTGAGCCAAGATCATACCACTGCACTCCAGCCTGAGCGGCAGTGAGACTCCATCTCAAAACAAAACAAAATTCTACCAGAAGCTGACCCAAAACAAAAGGAAAGGTCATGCTGGGTTTGCTTCAAAAATCCTCCTATGTTTATGGCTTTCTTAAAAAGTGGATACATCTAGCTGAAGCGTGTTTGCATAAACGGAGGATCTTTCAGCATCCTGGTAATGCAAGGTGTGTGAGATGCGCATACCTGAGAGACTGAGACCTTTCTCTTCTCACAAGCACCCCAGAGGCTGCCTAGCCCCTTGGAAAGCATCCCTAAATCCAGAGGTACACTTAGATCTCTTCTGCAAATCACAGGACAAGCTGCTGAAAGGGTGAGTCTTTCTCCAGGCAGCTACTGTGTCCAAGAAGTCTCTTCTGTAATGCTTCTTCCCACAGCGCTGGCTAGAGGCAGGAGCCCCCGGGTTCCCTGGCAGGAGCTGCTGCTTTCATGTTAATTGCTGACTATGTTCCCCTCATTGGCGACAATGCTTGGAAATAAGGTGACATGTCTGTCTAGTGGCCTCAGTGGGGCACCGTGAGGGTTCCCCCAAGAGCAGGCTGCCAGGTCCCCGATGACGTCCCTGGACTGGCATTTTCGCAGTCCTGGGTGCTTCCCAATTCTCTTCTCTGGGACATCACTGCACTCTCAAGAGTCTTGCGGTTCTTTGATGGACTTGGTCGAGACTAAATCCCTTCTTTCCCCTGTAAAACCTTCGTGCAGATAGTTTTTCTCCCCAGAGGATGCTTGTTTTCCTTGCCCGTGCTACCTGGTGCTGAGAGTAGCCGTGGCTGTCTTTCTTCACTTTGCTCTGTGTGCTCCATATCTGAGGAGGGCTGTTTGGAGCAGGCCTTTGGCTGCAGCTGCCAGAGCAGGGTCCTGTCATCTCTGTGTGGTGATGAGTCTCAATGGAAGGGTTAACTTTTCACGGGATGGTGCCTGAGTCTCTCCACGCAGAACAGAGAAGCTCTTCTCCTTTCCCCGCTCCGCTCTGCGGGCGGCTGCTGTGCACGTCAGCGTATGTCGAACACTAGGTCCCTCCCTGAAGATGAGAAGGATGCTTCCAAATGGAAATCTGATTCCTCAGTGTCCTGAAAAATTCCCGTTTTCCAAGTAGCTTCCCATGACAGTAACCCTTGAGCAAGGGAAGTGAAAAAAAGGCCTCAGTGCTCAGAGTGACCCAGCAAGAAGCCTGCACTCGCCGACCTTGCTGCTGATGCAGGTGCTCCCTTACGCCCTGGGTCAGCAAGGCCTTTCAGCTCACCAATAACGAGCGTGTTTACAATACAGGGAAGGAAAGAAGAACCAGCTCCCACACGCCAAGCACTGTGTTGTCACTTTCACTGTCTTTCTAGTCCTCCTAGCTATTCTCTGCAGGAAGGGGATCAGCCCTGCTCTACAGATGAAGAGGCCAGCTCAAAGGGAAGGAATCACTTCATTAGGAGAGTTTGGGGGTGGGGAGAGGATAGAGTAATGATGAGGAATAGTGAGTAATACTAATAGCGGTTTTCTTCTGGCCCTGGGCTTTGGAACCAGTTGAGAAGCAGGGGCAGGAATGAGATACACAGAGATCAGAAATGGGCCTTTCTGATGGGCCACACTGTGGGATGTGGCTTGGATGTGTGGCCACAGTGGGTTCCCTCACCAGGGGCAGAGCCTGCGTGTGTCAGAGCCAGGCCTGGGATGCACCTTCTCTGGGCAGACAGACCCAAAAGAAAGCCCACAAGGGCTGGGCCACACACAGTCACGCCCCAGGGGGCCCGGACCTCCACAAGGAGATGGGAGCTCAGGCGGGGGTGGGGCAGGGCTCACCCTTAACTTAGGCCAGCGAATCGGCAGGCGAGCCTAGCTTCAAACTACCCGCTTCAAAATCCATATTCTTCCTACTACAGTAGAAAGGGTGAGAGTTAAGGGTGAGAATAAGAGAATGTTTTCCTTTTCTAACTTTAGGGGAGAGTAGTAGAAAGAACACGGATTTTGAAGCGGGTAGTTTGAAGTTAGGCTCGTGTGCTGATTCGCCGGCCTAAGTTAAGGGTGAGAATAAGAGAATGTTTTCTCTTACTGGGTTAAAAAAAAAAATATATATATATATATATATATTTTTTCATCATCATTAGCTCTTTAAAAAATTCCACTCATAAAAGAAACATCGTTATAGAAATTTGGGAAAGAGAAAGATGTGTACAGAAGAAAAGAATGTACTTAAATCATATAAAATTCCACCACCTTTGGCATCACGTGTTTTCTTCATCTTTTTTCTATATTTGGGCATAGAGATTGCACCGTTAAATGATAATCTGACACTGCTTTTTGCATCGTATGCTTCCCTCTGTTTTGTTTAAGGCACTGCATTTCAACACACTTAACGCTGACATTGTAAGGTTACTTTAAAATAGCTGGTGATCAACGGTAAATATTGGAATCGCTCCCTAATATGCCAGCATGCATGTTTAGAAAGTCGCTTCTAATACAAGGACTAGTTCCCCAAAGCCTGCAGGTTTTGTGGCATCTCCTCGTTGTGGTTTAGCATCATGAAATACAGCACTTAGGTGGAGAACGGGATGCTGAGTTGAGAGGTCTCCTGCCAGTTTTTCTGGTTTTGAGAAGGATGGGTACCAAGCAAGAGAAGAGATTCATTTCAGACGCTCACATTGCATGGATAAGACTCTAGGCCAGGCGTGGTGGCTCATGCCTGCAATCCCAACACTTGAGGAGGCTGAGGTGGGAGGATTGCTTGAAGCCAGGAGTTCAAGACCAGCCTGGGCAACATAGCAAGACCCTGTCTCTATGAAAACTAAATAAGCAAAATTAGCCAGATGTGGTGGCATGCACCTGTCGTCCCTACTACTCAAGAGGCCGAGGTGGAAGGATTGCTTGAGCCCAGGAGTTTGAGGCAACAGTGAGCTACGATCGTACCACTGCACTCTAGCCCGGAAAAGAGAGCCTGTCTCAAAAGCAAAACTCTGTTGATGAAAGGTCAGGTTAGGTGTTCTAGATTTAATGGGAGGTGTTTATAGACGGTCCGGGATATTGTTTGATTCCAAACTCATGTAGAAGTCTACACTAGCTGATAGTAATGGCGGCTGGGAGGGATGGGTTCTCTCCACCCTGGCTCACTTTCTACACTGGATCATGGGGGATGGTTGGTGCTGGACTCTAGCACTGAGAAAGCATGACCTCTTCTGCCCCTTCTTCCCTTGAGGGGCAGAACAGGGCAGCGTCTGCACCTGTGCCTGTGCCCAGCCTCACTCCTGCCCGCTGCCTTTGCAGGCACATGGTGCTTCTGAAGGAGCAGTACGGGCAGCAGGTGGTCGTGAACCTTCTGGGAAGCAGAGGCGGAGAGGAGGTGCTCAACAGAGCCTTCAAGGTAAGGCCGGGCTGCCCTCTTCATGGCTAGGCCAGGCTGGACGGGGTGGCGGATGGCTACAGTGAAGCCTTGAGCCTAGAAGCGGCTCCTGCAGGGACTGGAGCTGCCAGCCCGGTCCTCCTTCCTTTCCTGAGGCTTCCGCAGTGTTCTGACCACTGAACAGCCAGTGCTCGGTGATTTGGGCCCCTGATACAGTGAGTGTAATTTCTATGAGCTGACGGTTGGGAGAATTTGCTCAAAGTCAAAACAGAGCATCTCCTGTCCCAGTCATGTGTCCCCTGGCCTCCCCATGGCTTCAAGGGCTCCTGACCTCCCAAGGAGTCCCTCTCAGTCCAGCCTAGGAGCAGGTGGGCCTCCCCTCTGCCCTGGCTGGTCCTGGGTGGGTTCCCCCAGCCCCACAGGGCACCTGGCCTCAGGGCTCAGGCAGAGAAGCAGCTTCCGTGGCTTCCCTCTGCTTGTCGGGCAGCCTTCAAATTTTCCCCTCTTCTTTGGGCTCCCATGGGAGCTGTTGCACTTGCTCCTGCTGGTCTCCGAGGGCTCCCTCAGGCTTCCCTGGGGCTTTTCCTGGCCATCCTGGACAGAGATCCTAGGCAGGGTCACGGAGCTGCGGGAGGTCGGGGGAGCAAGAGACCATCCCCCTGGCCAGGAGCTGTCCCGATGCACGGATCCCAGGCCTCCAGCGCCCGCCCCCTTCTCCCCAGGCGTAAGACCTTTCAGAATGAGCAGTGGGGGTTCCCGGTTCCTTTACCACTCTCCATGTCCCCTGCCTAATGGAAGAAAACTGTCTGGTTGTTTGAAGCTCAAGGATAGCCCTTAGAGAAAGAGCCGAAGTGGTCTCAGTGGGGCTGAGGGCAATCTCTGAGCCTTTCCCTCAGCTTAGAAACGCCGCATGCTCGTGCCTGGAGCAGGCACTTCCTGGTTTGCCAATTTTATTTGACCAGACCCGCTTTTCCTGTTTGATTTGTTGCTATTAGCAACAAGCTCCAGAAGTGTCTCCCTTCCCACCTATCTTGGCAGTGATGCTGGCTGCTAATTTGAAGGAAGAAGGAAAAAGCCAAAAAATAAAAATAAGAATAAGAACCCCAACTCTTTTTTCCCCTAGGCCTTGAGTTGTGGCCCCTCCCATCAGTGGGTGAAGTGAGGGTGGGAGATGGCAGCCGCCTCATGCAGGGAAGGGTGGGCTCCTGGCCAGGCAGGGAGGGGCACTCTAGCTGGAGACCTGGGTCACAGCCCTGTCGGGGGTAGCCCTCAGCCACATCAGCTCCCCCGGGCCTGGCGGCCATCAGTCCTGCTGGACAAGGCACTGGCTCCGGAATGAGTGTTACTGAGCCACCAGGCACTGTCAGCCTCCGCCAGCTTCTGGCTCACAGCAAGACTTGCTTGACGATGGCAGTGTTGCATTGACTGACACTCAGGCCTATCACAGGCGGTCATGTTGAGTCAGACCAGGTGACCCCAAGTCCTTCAAGTCTTAGACGTCACTGGGACCTCTGGCTGGGCGCAGGCTGGACTGGCCTGACCTGAAGCTGTACCTGCGTGGGTGCAAGGTGAGGGAGGCGGAGGGGACAGTTTGTCCTTTATCATGGGGCTCTCTAGGAAGAAATCCAGGGACTGGAGAAGCCTCGCGTGGAAGGGAGGGCTCTTAAGCGTATGGTGGTGCCATCGGCAGCCCCTCGCCCTGCTTCCCATCTGTCCCTACATTCGCCCTGGCTCCCTGACCATCCTGAACTTGCACTGGGATGTGGGTCCCACCTGGCCCACCTCAGCTGGAGCCTTGGTCTCTTCAGGCCATCAGAGGCTGGTGTGCAGCAGGATGGGGCCGGTTACCAGGGTAACAGGGAGATGGATTATGAGCTCTGCAGCCTGCTGCAGCACTGCTGTCCCCAAGGGCCTGGGCCACCTGGACCATCTGAAGAACAGAGCAGTCCTTCCTCATCTGTGCCCTCTGGAGAGCCCTGCAGGAGTGTGGTATCCCCAGGGAGCCACACTGGCTCTGGCTGCTTTTGCCCAAGGGGAACCCTCTGCCCTTTGGCAGGCAAGATGCTCTTTGTGGGGTTTGTCCCCCAGGGCCTTTGTCCTGTGCTTCCCTTTTGGAGTCAACTGCCTGGTCCACTGTGAGCTTCCAGCTAAAGCACGTCCTGTGTGGCGACTCACTGTGGTTAGCCACGGGGGTCGAGCTGTGCAAGGAGCTTGCCCTCCTTGTCCCCCCTTCCCTCTGCTCCTCTCACTGCCTGCACCTCCTCTTTTCAGAAGCTGCTCTGGGCTTCTTGCCATGCAGGCGACACGCCTATGATCAATTTTGACTTCCATCAGTTTGCCAAAGGCAGAAAGCTAGAGAAATTGGAGACCCTCTTGAGGCCACAGTTAAAGCTGCACTGGGAGGACTTCGATGTGTTCACAAAGGGAGAGAACGTCAGTCCACGGTGAGGCTCTCTGTGTGCCGCGCCTTCTGCTGGGTCAGGTGGCAGAGGGGCCGCACCATCCAGGACATGTGCCCTATGAAGGGCAGCTTCCTTCCCTCTGCACTCAGCTACCATTGCAGTTTTCTGGGTCATCAGCTTGGCGATGTTGGGAATCTCAGGTTCCAGCTTCTCCTCTCCCTTCCCACAGTGGGAGACAGGCTTTCACATTCCTTCAGGAGATGGTGAGGCATGATTTTCTGGGAAAAGAAATGAACTAATAAAGGGGGCTGCATTAAAACATGGAGCTCCACACTGCGATGCAGCCTGTGAGAGTGAGGGTCACAGTCACGGTGGGATGGCTGGCATAAACTCAGATTGCGGGAGGAGACCGGGGTGTGGACTGCCCTGCTCAGAGCAGAGCAGAAAAAGGGAGTTCATTTCCCTTGGCTCACATGCAGGGGGTCCTCATTATTTGCAGATTCCATATTGGCTAATTTACCTACTCCCTAAAACTTATAACCCCAGAATCACTACTCAAAGCACTTTTCCTGGACATTCACAGACATGTGCAGAGCAGTGACAATGTGAGTCACATGTTCATGCTCCCAGCTGAGAGCAAACAAGGCAATACTGTCTTCTTGTTTTAGAAGACAACAAGAAGATTGTATGTAAACACCTGTCCTTCACGAGATTGAGTACCATGTTTCTTCACATTCGTGGGGTCTTTGTTGGGGGGTACCCCTTTGTTGGGGCATCTCGTGGTTCAGAATGGCTGTCAAGCATTGTGCTGAAGAGCTGTCTAGTACTTCTGGACAAAAGAAGGTGGTGATGTGCTTTATTTATGGAGAAAATACACATTATGATAAGCTTTGTCCAGATATGAGTTACAGTGCTATTGGCCATGGTTCCGTGTTAAGGAAGTGTTTATATATATAAACATATATATATATTATAAACATATGTTATACATATAATGTGTACATATATATTATATACATAATGTATACATATATTCAATAAGGTTATGTTATAACCTTGTTGAATGTACATTTATGTACATTCCATTATATGGAAATGTACATAAAACAAGGTTGTATATTGATCAGTTGAAGAAAACCTGACCAGAGCTTGCAGGAACCTAACCCTATATTTCTCCTAGGAGCTGTGGTTCTGTGTTCATGTTCAATTCAGTGTTCATACAACTTTATAGAACATAATTGCTATAAATAAAAAAGATAAGCCAAACTTATAATGACCCGGCTGTTCAGGCTGCTACGTGTGTCCTGGGGTCTGCCTGCCTTTTCAGCAGTGCTGGGGATCCACTGGGATAGACACAGGGGTTTCTGGGGGGCCATTTTGGGGAGGAGGTGAGGGGTTCGCTCTTAGAACGTTTCCTTGGGAGTTGACAGTCAGACACGGGCCACTGTGCTATGGCCACTGCTTCTTTGAACACAACTTATCACTGTTTGCATCTCTTCTTGTCCTAAGTTTTCAGAAAGGCACTTTGCGGATGAACTGTCTTGACTGCCTGTACCGAACCAACACTGTGCAGAGCTTCATTGCGCTTGAGGTGCGTCCCTGCTGTGGCCTTTTGGGCCATTTGTACCAGGTCCTCTGCCTTCAGCCAGACAGGCTGGGCTGAGCGCCTTCAGCAGCAAGATGAGGGAGGCATCACTGAGACAACTTCCTAACAATGGGGAAGGTGGACATCCAGAGAGGGGTTCCCCAGGCGGCCGCTTCCTCTGTCATAGGCACACTTTCACACGCCCTCTTGTGAAATGCATCCCAGACATGGTGGCCCAAAGGCTTCTAGACAACACCTGTGTGTAATGATTATCATGGATGTACCATTGGCCAAAGGCAGTGTGAGGCTGGCCAGATGAGGCTGGGATTGAAGCTGGAAAGAGACCTAGTGTGCGTGGCCCCACCTTTCTGGTTGACCTCCCCTGGCTGGGGGTTCGGCGGGGGCAGGGTCAGAACCCCCTGCTGTCCACCACTGTTTGCTGTTCAGCCTCTGGCTGGTGAGGGCAGGGGTGGTCAGGTGTCGGGGTGAGAGGAGGGCTTGGGTAGACCATATAGATAAAGTTGGGGTGAGTTGTGGGAAGTCACTCTGCTATAAGAACTCCTCCTCCTCTGGAGGGACACAGGGTCTTCCAGGGCACAGTGGAATCCACAGGCTGCTGAATACGGAACCTCCTGGGGTGGCAGCTGTGGAGCCTCCATAGGAGAAGCCAGTGCCAGCCATCCCTGTTCCTCCCCAGGTCCTGCATCTGCAGCTCAAGACCCTGGGGCTGAGTTCAAAACCCATCGTTGACCGCTTTGTGGAGTCCTTCAAAGCCATGTGGTCTCTGAATGGCCATAGCCTGAGCAAGGTGTTCACGGGCAGCAGGGCCCTGGAAGGGAAGGCCAAGGTAGGACCCAGCCAAGGGGGCAGGGTGAGGGCCCCGTGGACCCCCCTCACGGCCTGTGATCTGGGCTCTCGGCAGGTGGGGAAGCTGAAGGATGGAGCCCGGTCCATGTCTCGAACCATCCAATCCAACTTTTTCGACGGGGTGAAGCAGGAGGCCATCAAGCTGCTGTTGGTCGGGGATGTCTACAGCGAGGAGGCAGCAGACAAAGCGGGGATGCTGCTGGACAGCACGGCGCTCCTGGGTAGGGTCTGCTCTGGGTAGGGCCTGCTGCAAGCCAGGGGGAGATGAAGAGGTGGGGTTCTCTCCAGCCCCACGTTCCCGCTGCCTCCGTGCCATCCAGAGCATGAGTGGCAGATGTGCCCAGGGTCTGAGCAGTGGACCTATGCACCTTGAAGCGGTCACTGCCTCTAACGGGAGGGAACCTGTGCTTTCCAGCGGGGCCTGGGAGCTCACCCTTGGTTTCAGCTTGAACTGTGTGTGTTTCCATCCCGAGGAGGCCGGAGACAACAGGCGGGCTCTGTGAGGCAGTGTGCTCTCCTGAACACGTCGGTGCCTTTGAATGCTAACCCACTGCAGAAAACCGTCTCAGCTCCGTGGGCTCTTGGGCCCTTAGCAGGTGCCATTGGCCTGGGGAGCCTTCCATGAAGTTGGCTTCCAGTTTCTGTTTTGGCCCCTGAGGACCCTGTAGAAACAGGATGATGCTGTCATCTCCCGGGGATGAGGGCACCTCTGGTCTCAGTGGCGAGACATCGGGATTCCAGCAATAGCTAGAGGTTTCTTCGGGAGCATCTGAATGGCATCTTCTTACCTGAGCCTGTAAACATATTAGGATCCGTAGAAAAGGAGGAGAGACCCAGCATTTTTCCTTACAAGACCGTGTAAATGGGCCAGGCTTGGTGGCTCATGCCTGTAATCCCAGCACTTTCAGCAGCACAGGTGGGTGGATCACCTGAGGTCAGGACTTCGAGACCAGCCTGGCCAACATAGTGAAACCCCGTCTCTACTAAAAATACAAAAATTAGCTGGGAATGGTGGCAGGTGCCTGTAATCCCAGCTACTCGGGAGGCTGAGGCAGGAGAATAGCTTGAACCTGGGAGGCAGAGGTTGCAGTGAGCCGAGATTGCGCCATTGCACTCCAGCCTGGGCAACAAGAGCAAAACTCCATCTCAAAAAAAAAAAAAAAAAAAAGAATGTGTAAGTCACTTTAGAAATGTTAGGTGTTTTTGAAAACTGAATTAGCCCAGATTTAAAATGGGTTCACAGTCCTTTTCCACCCTCACCCTTTCGTCACTGGGCGCTCTTATTTGGCTTCTGGTAGGCAAGGTGATATTTACTTTCTACTCTGGAAATAATGCCAGCTCTCTGTGAAAGGTTAACGAAGCTCCACATTGGACAGTGAGTCTATTTAATAGCAAGGCAGATATGAGTTCAATTTGGGTTACATCACAAGTTTAAAAAGATGGAATATATTTTGGCTATCCAGAGGATAGAGATGGTTCTGTGTGATGACTTTTTAAAGACTTAAGTTTGAGGCCAAACAAAACATTTCAGATATGCAGGATGGAAGGCGGAGGATGCAAAGGTGGCTGCCGGGTTGGTAAGACATTTAAAGTGATAGTGTATATGGGTGCTGGCTGCCGGGTTGGTAAGACGTTTAAAGTGGTAGTGTATATGGGTGCTGGCTGCCGGGTTGGTAAGACGTTTAAAGTGGTAGTGTATATGGGTGCTGGCTGCCGGGTTGGTAAGACGTTTAAAGTGGTAGTGTATATGGGTGCTGGCTGCCGGGTTGGTAAGACGTTTAAAGTGGTAGTGTATATGGGTGCTGGCTGCCGGGTTGGTAAGACGTTTAAAGTGGTAGTGTATATGGGTGCTGGCTGCCGGGTTGGTAAGACGTTTAAAGTGGTAGTGTATATGGGTGCATACACATTGAAATATGCTCAGTCACTGCATCCCCTTGCTTAAATTCCTGTGCCTTGTTCTTCTACGAAGTGGACAGTGAGGACACGGCTCTTCCTCATTGTGTCTGAGATCCCTGTGATCTGGTGTCCCGGGCCTTCTGGCTCCAGCTGGGGGTGGGGGTACAGAGGGTGAATTTTCGTCTTGTGTTTTCACACCTTTATTGCAGAAATCCATAAAGAAGCACTGTGGTTTCCAAGATTTTAAGCGTTTGCCATCTTCCTAAGGAGCATACCCTGGTTTATCTCTAGAGGCTCATGAACCATCTATGTGTCTGCCAGGCAGCCTCTTCTGTATCTTTGGAGGATGCCCGAGCTTTGGAACTACAAACAAATGTGCCTTTTTATGCCCCCAGCAGTGACTCCCAGGATCCTGAAAGCTATGACTGAGCGCCAGTCGGAATTCACAAATTTCAAGCGGATCCGGATTGCCATGGGGACCTGGAATGTGAACGGAGGCAAGCAGTTTCGGAGCAACCTGCTCGGGACGGCGGAACTGACGGACTGGTTGCTCGACGCGCCCCGGCTCTCTGGAGCTGCCGAGTCCCAGGGTGAGGGCAGTGACGGTGGGGACGGAATCCCGTTGTGCCTAACCTGACATACCAGGCTTGACCCTTCAGTGACCATAGTCTTGTGGAGTTGCATCTTTGGTGTTTTTTCTCCTCACAGTGTTTAAATAGTACCGTGGTCTGACTCTCAAGAATGCTGCCTTGAAAATAACTGACTTTTTTCTTTTCCCCAATGTTGAGAAGAGTTAGCAGCGAGTGAATCTCTCTTTTCTGTTTGCATACGGCAATGGTGAAGTCCTGGGCTTTGATCAGTAGCATCTTTCTGTCACCAGGCGGAGGGTGTGGCTTCTCGAGCCATGTGACTGTAAGGATGGGAGCCAGGCCTGCCTTCAGTGTTTTTTGTTTTGTTTTGTTTTGAGATGAGTGTCACTGTTGTCACCCAGGCTGGAGTGCAGTGGCGCAATCTCAGCTCACTGCAACCTCCTCCTCCCAGGTTCAAGCGATTCTCCTGCCTCAGCCTCCTTAGTAGCTGGGATTACAGGCACACACCACCAGGCCCAACTAGTTTTGGTATTTTCAGTAGAGACGGGGTTTCGCCATGTTGGCCAGGCTGGTCTCAAACTCCTGACCTCAGGCAATCCACCTGCCTCGACCTCCCAAAGTTGGGAGTGTGAGCAACTACACCCAGCCCTGCCTGCAGTGTTGATATTGACCAAGAATGGCTCATCCCTGCCTCTCATTAAACCAGTTCTATTCATCTGCTTTAAGTAGTCACAAAACAATTCATGTGCTTTTTAAGAATAAAATAATTCCGAGTGTCAACACCTCACCTTTTATATAATGAGATACACTGTTGAATGGCCCCAGAACTTAAGACCCAAATAAGTGATTCTTGTTCCATCAGCGTTGACTCGGGCTTTTTTTTTTTTTGCTTCCTTGGACTTAGGAAGAGACTTGTGGTTCAGTTTTTAGCCTGCTGGTGAGTGACCTGTGGTCTAGCTGACATGTGGTGGGCCATGTGTACATTTGTGCCCCACAGCTGCCTGGGTGGTACCCAGAGTCCCATCCCATCCCTTCCTCTGCACGTGCCATCCGTGCCTTACTTTCTGCCTCCAAGGGCAGGTAGCAGAGTCCACCCTGCAGAGCCACTGGGGCTCTCCATGTCAGGGGTAGCCTGGGTTGGTGCTTGCAGTGCCTCCAGAAGCCATTCAGGATGCCCTCCGGCAGAGTCCCATCGACACAGAGAGTGCTTGGCACAGCCATAGCTCAGCAGCCATTCCTCCCGATGCTAACGTGACTCCTTTTCCCTGCAGGAAGGCGTGCGTGTTTGTAGCAAGCTGGCTGGTATTTTGCAGGGGATCTTTTTGGGGTAGACACTAGCGCACTCCCCCGCAGTCCCACTAGAGATGCACCAGGTTCCAGACAAGGAAGGTGCTATGGTGACTGTTGCCGAGCAGATCCACAGGGGGACGGGGATTGTTTTCTTTAAAAAATAATAATAATAAAGCTTTAAGTCAGGGACACTAGAGGTTCCAGGTTGCCCATTGTGGCCAACAGAGAAGGAAGTGGATGGCCTGCCTGACCTCTTGCTGGCCTCTCGCTGACAGAGGCCACGTCCTCCTGGCAGGAGCCGGGGGAGGCGGGCATTTCACTTTCTGCAGCAGCTGGAGCCGTGGCTGGGCTTGGTGGCTCAGAGCCTGGATGTCAGAGGTCGTGACTGGAGAGATTCAGTCGACAGCTACAGGGTTATATGAAACTCTGACCTCCTTTGTTCAAAGGGAACAGACAGAATGGATGGAGCCCTCGGGCTCACTGCTGCGTTGAAGCCAAGCATTACTGAAGTAGGTTCCGCCGGCAGTTCCCAGCAGCAGTAGCAGCCCCCTGGAGCTGGACTCAGGCAGTGGACAGCGTGGCTCTGAAGAGGGGACCCGGGAACCCCATGAATTCGTAACACAGGACATGGCAGTTCTGACCTCTGTCATCTCTTGCCTTGCTCCCCAGATGACAGCAGCCCAGCTGACATATTTGCTGTGGGGTTTGAAGAGATGGTGGAGCTGAGTGCAGGGAATATTGTCAATGCCAGGTAAGGGGCAGGGGTGCGGGCTGGGCAGGACCTGACTCAGATGCCTGGCTGGGAACAGAGCCTCTGAGACTCTTCCTGGAGCCAGCCTGCTTCTGAGCTGGCTAAGCTGTAGTCCAGTCCTGGCTGTGTGAGGATCTCTCACCTGGCTCTGTCTGTAACCACGTGTGCACCGCCCTGTTCTTTCCCTGCTGTTTAAGGAAGTAGAAGGAAGGGCTGATGGTTGCTGTGTTTTCTCTGTGGTGCTCTGGCCTCGGCCACTTGAGGCTGATTTACGCTGCCAGAGGGAGCTGGCATGTGTGGACCTGGGGTACAGGGGCGGGGCACAGGACCTGGGGCACAGAGACTGGGAGAGTGGCTGACTCATGTTTCCTGGGGAGAGGTGAGAAAGCAGAGTGCCGGGACGCGGTACTTCCCTCCTTCACACCAGGGCGAAGGGAAGAATCAAATCCACTGGATTTGTATTTGATATGAAGTCAACTGGACATTCCACCACCCCCTCAACCCTGCCAAACTGGCCTGGCTGTTATTTCAAGGAACTTTCTGAACAAATAAATAAGATGGACTCTGTGGGGCTGCTGTGATGTATGAGACGCAACCAGAAATACCCAGATCCTCTGGTAGAACAGGGAAAGCATGACACTGATATTGGGGTGCTGGCAGTGTGACGTCGGTTCTGCACATGGAACGGGCCTGGGCTGGAGCATTTGGCAGGTGGGAGATGGCACTTCAGACACCTGGAAACAGCATTCTCCTTTCCTTTTCTCTTCCAGTACCACCAACAGGAAGATGTGGGGGGAGCAGCTTCAGAAAGCCATATCACGCTCGCACAGGTACATTCTGCTGACTTCGGCGCAGCTGGTGGGCGTCTGTCTTTACATCTTTGTGCGTCCCTACCATGTCCCGTTCATCAGGTAAGAACATCTGGTGTATACACATCTGGGCAACAAAGGCTTGTCAGCCTCTGGGTTTGGTTATTTGACTTCCTCCTCCTCCCCTGTCCCCTCTGTAGCAGGAATTGGGACTTGCCATTATTTTAGATAAATGTAGCAAAACCCCCTAGGAAAAACTGAGCTGAATAGAATATTGTCTAACAATTAAAAAGCCATCATGGGAAACGTCTACCTTGGGAAGCTGAAGTCTTAGAGTGTTACATGATTGTCATCGTCCGGGCTCAGTTCTGTGCGAGGAAAGGCGTTCCTGGTTGGAATCTTACAGACAGGAAACCTTTGACAGGTAACCTCCGAGTTACCTCTGAGTAACTCACTGGGAATTGCCAATTATTTTGTCTCTTTTTAAAAGAAGTCTGAGTCGAATGTGTGGGCCTCTACAACTATGACCTCAGTGTCATTTCTCCAAGGTGCATGCTTTGTGGGTGCTGGAAAGGGGTCAGCTTAGGGGCTGCATTCCTCTTGGGGTGTGGGTGTGGGTGCTGAGATGCTGGAGGAACTCACCTTTCCCCTCAGCCTGCTGATGCCCTTGTCTTTCCCCCTGGGCCTGCTCATGGCATTCGAATTTCCTCCAGCCTTTCTCCAGACTGGCAGCAGGCGTCGGGCTGGCGGCAGGCATCGAGCTGACCTCCCCACTGAGCCCCTGGGTTCCAGGAAGGGTCTGTGCCTGTCTAGAGTGCCACGGGTGCACCTCTGCAGCACCTGGAGGCTACGCCTGTGCTGTCTGTCATCCTCTCCTCTGACTTTGGGAAGATGTTTAGGTCCCTGTCCCTCTCCTTGTGATATTTTGGCAGCTTGGCCGTGTCCCAGGTTAGCAGGTCAAGGCTAGTTAAGTGTGAAAGGCAAGGGTAGGTGAGGGTGAGAGGTAAAGCATTTGAGAAAGGGCTCAGAGCTGAGGAGTGCCAGGTTTCCCAGGCTCGGTGTCCTCGGCTTTCACACGCCTTTGACCCTGAGCCTCTTCACCTGTACCCCTTCCATCACTCTTCCCCCGACCTTGTCTACCCAGGAAGCAGATGTAGCAAGCCTTAGTCTGCAGCACAGTCATGGAAATGTTAAAAAATTGTGCTGTAACCCATGTTTCTATGGACTTGTATGCATTATGAGTTGGCATTTTAATGCCAGCAGGCTCTGGCATTGCATAAAAGTCCGTTTGAGACCACCTGCCCAGCCCAGCATAAACAGCTGCTGGCTTCCTAAATCTTAAATGCCTTGATTGCTGGGTGCAGTGGCTCACACCTGTAATCTCAGCACTTTGGGAGGCCAAGGTGGGTGGATCATTTAAGGTCAGGAGTTCGAGACCAGCCTGGCCAACATGGTGAAACCCTGTCTCTACTAAAAATACAAAAATTAGCCAGATGTGATGGCAGGCACCTGTAATCTTGGGAGGCTGAAGCAAGAGAATTGCTTGAACCTGGGAGGTGGACATTGCAGTGAGCTGAGATCCACTGCACTCCACTTGGGCAACAGAGCTTGACTCTGTCTCAAAAAAAAAAAGTGTTGATTGCCCAGATGATACCTCCCATGCATGGCGTGATGGCTGCACGGGAGTGGGGTGGGTTGGTGGGTAGTAATGTTCATGCCAATCCTGGTGGCAGTGAGAACCTGGGAAGATGCAGGGATTGCCGTGTCTTCAGCTTCTTGGGGTGCTCAGGAGAGCACTGAGTGCTTTCGGGTTGGGGTGTGGAGAAGGTGTCCAGGCAGCAGTGGACAGCTGGAGGGAGGCAGCCTCCTGACTCGGAGTCGATGACAGCCATGGTGGCCGCTGTGTTGCGATTAGACAGACTCTGAGCTACCATGCCCTTCTCTGTGGCAAAGCAGGGTCATGCTTCTCCTTCAGGAGCTGACGGCATGCACACATCCTTCTGTTCCAGGGACGTGGCCATCGACACAGTGAAGACAGGCATGAGGGGCAAAGCGGGGAACAAGGGTGCTGTTGGCATCCGCTTCCAGTTCCACAGCACCAGCTTCTGCTTCATATGTAGCCACCTGACAGCCGGGCAGTCCCAGGTGAAGGAGCGAAATGAAGACTACAAGGAGATCACCCAGAAACTCTGCTTCCCAATGGTGAGTGGCGCCGTGGGGGTGACCAGCACCTTCCTGCTCGCCGCAGTCCCAGACATGACTGTTGATAGGAGCCAGGCATTGGGGACACAGCCACAGGGAGGGCCCCTGCCTAGAGGGCTCATCGCTGGGGAATGGGGAGAAGCTGTGTCACTCCATGGAGTTGACCTGGGGCGGGGTTAGCCGTGTGCCTGTAGGGGGTCAGCTCTGCGGCATCCGTCCCCCCCGTTGCTGTACATTTCCTGAGTGTCTACATGGCCCCTGGATTTTTGTGTGTGCATTTTCTGATTTTCTCTTTTTTTTTCTTTTTTGAAATGGAGTCTTTCTCTGTCACCAGGTTGGAGTGCAATGGTGCGATCTCAGCTCACTGCAACCTCCACCTCCCAGGTTCAAGTGATTCCTCTGCCTCAGCCTCCTGAATAGCTAGGATTACAGGCACCTGCCACCACACCCAGCTAATTTTTATATATATATATATATATATATTTTTTTTTTTAGTAGAGACAGGGTTTCGCCATGTTGGCCAGGATGGTCTTGATCTCTTGACCTCGTGATCCGCCCGCCTCTGCCTCCCAAAGTGCTGGGATTACAGGCATGAGCCACCGTGCCTGGCCGCATTTTCTGATTTTCTAATTCAAGTGATTGATGCTTTAGGGAAAGACAACCATGTCCGTGCTTTGTCCTGACCCAAGTGGTGAAGAACATTTGAATCCACACCATCTAAGACTCCGCTTTCCTGAGAGTCACAGTCTTCACATGTACTTTCTGTGGTGGCTCAGATAAGAACATGCTTTTGACCAATGAGCCCTGGGTCCTTGGTCGAGGACACTTTTTGACCAGGAACACCATTCTTAACCAAGGAGCCCAGATCCTCCTGTTCTCGAAGCTGCAGTAGCAAATTGCACACTGCCCTCTCGTGGCGGTCTGGAGGGTTTCATTCTGAACAGAGGATTTTCTTTTCCAACATAGATTTTGATGTTCTCCTTCCTGTGCAAAGGTGCTACCCTGCACACCTTGAGTGTGTGGTGCACATGAGACCCACATGTTCCCCGAAGCGAGGATAGACTTCAGCTGTTCGTGCCGAAAAATCTTCCAGTGTCTGAGAGTTGCATCACAGAGCTCTTCCCCATGAGGACAGATCCTTAAAACTGCCGTCCCGTTTTACTGGGCTGCACAAGCACTGAAGGCAAAATTTCCTTAGTTTTTGTTAAGAAGGGCCATAATTCTTGTTGGAGTTGTTTCTTATGTTAAAAAGAAACAAATGAGTTGGGCAATTTTCAATTGTGTGTAATGTAGTTTAGGGAAAAAAAAAAGTCTAACTTGTCTCATTTAAAAAGTGCTACTTTGGGGCTGGGTGCCATGGCTCACACCTGTAATCCCAGAACTTTGGGAGGCTGAGGCGGGCAGATCACCTGAGATCAGGATTTCAAAACAGCCTGGCCAACATGGTGAAACCCTGTCTCTACTAAAAATACAAAAATTAGCCAGCCATGGTGGCACACACTTGTAATCACAGCTACTCGGGAGGCTGAGGCAGGAGAATCACTTGAACCCGGGAGGCGGAGGTTGCAGTGAGCTGAGATCGCACCATTGCACTCCCAGGATACAGTTCGAGACTCCATCTCAATTTAAAAAAAAAAAAAAGCTACTTTGAAATAGTAAACTTGGGATACATAATAACATAAATCTTATTCTCCTAAAGCTGAATATTGGGAGCTGCTTCCTGGGGGCAGACACTGCAAAGCGAGGGAGTGATTAAAGGGTTTGTATGGTGTTCTTTTCTACAATAATAATATCGAGGGACCTGTTAACATTCTACGCTTTTGTTTTTGTTTTTGAAACACAGTCTCACTCTGTTGCCCAGGCTGGTGTACAGTGGCGTGCTCTTGGCTCACTGCAACCTCTGCCTCCCAGGTTCAAGTGATTCTCCAGCCTTAGCCTCCTTAGTAGTTGGGATTGCAGGCACACACCACCAGGCCTGACTAGTTCTGGTATCTTTAGTAGAGATAAGGTTTCACCATGTTGAACAGGCTGGTGGTCTCAAACTCCTGACCTCAAGTGATCTGCCCACCTCAGCCTCCCAAAATGCTGAGATTACAGGCATGAGCCACCATACCTGGCCAACATTCTACACTGATTTTATCTGATATCAGAGTCACTGGCCATAAGTGGCTATTTACATTTAAATTAATTAAATAACATTTTTAAATTCCTTGCTTTCACTGGCCACATTGAAAATGCTCAGTATTCATGTGGCCAGTTGCTCCCCCATCTGACAGCACAGAGAACATGCCGGCGCTGCAGAAAGTTCTGTTGGACAGTGTTGTCCAGACACTCGTTTTATTTGGTTGGGATCCGTGTAATCTTCTGTCCAGCTTATTGTCATGGGGGTGGGGAAATGCCTCACAGTATAGGAGAATAGAAACTGATTTTGGAGCTACGCGGATGGGAGCTGAAATCCATCCCATCTGTATCAGACACTAGCTGTGTAACCTTTAGTAAATGCCTTTGTTTCTAAATTTTTGTGTTTTTTTTTAATCTAAGAGAGAGTTGGTGGTATCTGCTTGTGCACCTGGAACAGTGCCCAGCCCTTGCGGACAGTTGATCCGCAGCAGCTGCTGTCACTGTGATTCCTGGGGAAGAGATAGGGAAAGCAAGGACCGCAGGAGGTCTCCAGGGCTGAGCTGGGGCCATGGGCTCCTGGGACTGAGCAGGATGGGGAGGAGGAGCGAGAAAAAGACAGAGAAGGGTCACGTGAAGAAGCTCAGGAAGTTCTATGAAGGTGTACATCCTGAGCATGTATGCTATGCTTTTGAAACCTCATTCTCCTAACACTGAATGCTGGATGCTGCTTTCTATGAGCAGGCACTCCAAGGCAAGGGTGCATCTGATCTTCAGGACTGAGATTCGCGGAGGAAATGCTGGCCATCTTGCTCCCCTCCGCTTAGGGTTGGAGCTTCCCTCGAACCACTTAGAAACACTATTATTTAAAATTAACAAGTAAACCATGTAAAAATCCCTCCATAGGTTTATGGGACGAGTGAAAAACAAGATGCTCTAGTAGAAAAATATTTTAAGTAACATTTTAAGAAAAATACTCCTGCTTGGCCCAGTGAGCTTGTTTTTCTCCTCTTTCCCGCCTTCCTTGCAAGATGGGCTGAATGATTGTGATTTTCTTTTCAACTTAGGGGAGAAACGTTTTTTCTCATGATTATGTGTTTTGGTGTGGCGATTTCAACTACCGCATTGATCTTACTTATGAAGAAGTCTTCTATTTTGTTAAACGCCAAGACTGGAAGAAACTTCTGGAATTTGATCAACTACAGCTACAGAAATCAAGTGGAAAAGTAAGTTGTGCTTTAAAAATATTTTTTTAGCTACTGCTTCAAGATAGATGACATCTATGACATGTAGAGGCTGGTGCAGCAAATGCAGTTCCGTGAGCGGATTTCACTTCGATGTTGTAGGAAACAGGTGGGCTTGTGAGGTCACAGTACAGGAGGGGCCGCTCATACACACTTCCTGTCCCTCTTTCTTTTTTTTGAGGCAGAATCTTGTTCTGTCACCCAGGCTGGAGTGCAATGGTGCTATCTTGGCTCACTGCAACCTCTGCCTCCCAAATTCAAACGATTCTCCTGCCTCAGCTTCCTGAGTAGCTGGGATTATAGGCATGCACCACCATGCCTGGCTAATTTTTGTATTTTTAGTAGAGATGGGGTTTCACCATGTTGGCCAGAATGGTCTCAAACTCTTGGCCTCAGGTGATCCGCCCACCTCGACCTCCCAAAGTGCTGGGATTACAGGCGTGAGCCACCGCTCCCAGCCAACCTTCTCCTCCTTCTAATACTGTTATTTTAGTGTCTGTTTGCTTTCTAGCAGGTTAGATTGAGATGAGGGGAGTACATTTAAATTCCATTTACCTGTGAAGAAAGAAGCTGGTTAAATGTTCGAGGGCCAGGAGTGGTGGCTCACGCCTATAATCCCAGCACTTTGGGAGGCTAAGGTGGGAGGATCACTTGAGTGCAGGAGTTTGAGACCAGCCGGGGCACCATAGCGAGACCCTGTCTCTACTAAAAATAGAAAAAAATGAGCTGGGTGGTAGTGCACGCCTGTAGTCCCAGCTACTCTGGAGGCTGAGATCAGAGAGTCACCTAAGCCCAGGAGGTCAAGGCTGCAGTGAGCCAAAATCACACCATTGCACTCCAGCCTGGCCAACATGGTGAAACCACATCTCTGCTAAAAATACAAAAATTAGCTGGGCATGGTAACTGGTGTCTGTAATCCCAGCTACTCGGGAGACTCAGGCAGAAGAATTGCTTGAACCCAGGAGGCACAGGTTGCAATGAGCCGAGATCACACCACTGCACTCCAGCCTGGGCAACAAGAGCGAAACTCCATCTCAAAAAGAAAAGAAAAAAGTGTGGGACAGGACAGATAAGGTCTCTCCTGAAGCAAGATTTGGACGTTCTTTGAGGTTTACTGTCTTCCTGCCTCAGCCCCTGCCAGTGTGTGGGGTGCTAAACAGCTGCCACGTAGACAAGTGACCACACCAGCCTCGTAAGGCAGGTTTTCCTTTCCTCCTACTGCCAGTATTCTCCCCTCCTTTCAGTGATGCCTGAGAGAACGAGGGTGTGTTTTCTCTGGGTCTTCCTATGGTGACAAGGCCAATCCAAAGCTAAACAAAGAGAAGAGGGCTGTGCATGGAGGCTCATGACTGTAATCCCAGCACTTTGGGAGGCCGAGACAGGAGGATTGCCTAAGCCCAGGAGTTTGAGACCAGCCTGGGAGACTAGGGAGACCCTGTCTCTACAAAAAATAAAATTAGCTGGGCATTGTGGTGAGCGCCTTTGGTCCCAGGTACTTGGGAGGCTGAGGCAGGAGGATCATATGAGCCCCAAAGGTTGAGGCTGTAGGGAGCTGCAGTTGTGCCACGGCACTCCAACATGAGCAAAAGAGAGAGACCCCTGGGAGAGAAGCAGGTGGGGAGGAGACCTGACTTTCACTCTGCACTTCTGCGTATTTAACTCTTTTACTCAACAAACATGGATGAAGACCTCGGTGGCTGTGGGCTGGACATTGCAGCGGGCATGGGACTGTAAAGATGGGCACCCCTGACCCCTCCCTCCAACCCTTCACTTTCTCCTGGGGAGCAACAAGCAGGCAGTGGCTAGATCAGACACTGCAGCAGGTGGGGAGATACAGGGTGTGTGTCCCTCAGTGGGCTGAGCTGAGGATCGCTCTTTTGCTAACTAAAAGGCACGTGTCCAGTTTCAGACAGACTTTCAAATGTAATGGAACTTCTGTTACTTTTTAGGAATAGGGACTTCCCTTTTCAGTTTCCGTTTTTGTGTATAACATTCAGGATCTAAAATGAAGGTGGCCTCACAACTTCTTTTTCTCCCAATAGATTTTTAAGGACTTTCAGGAAGGAGCCATTAACTTCGGACCCACCTACAAGTATGACGTTGGCTCAGCCGCCTACGATACAAGTGACAAATGCCGCACTCCAGCCTGGACGGACCGGGTGCTGTGGTGGAGGAAGAAACATCCCTTTGATAAAACAGGTGAGGGGCTGTTCGAGAGCCAGCGGAGGATGGGTGAGAAACGCCGGGAAGTCTCGTTCCCCCCAGCCCAGTGCTCTGCCACCTAAGTCGGTCTTCTTCATTACCCAGATGAGGCAAAAGTCATCTCAGACTTAGCCCCTAAGCTTTGGAAGTTGTGTTTTCACGGGGCTCCTGCTCTGGCTTCTTTCTAGAGATGGTGACCTGCAAATAGGTCTCCTCTTGGCTCTCCCTGCCCCTGCATCACCCCTCCCCCTGCCCCTTTTTTCTGGGTGGGGAAAGAGAGCACGGAAGCACCAGGTGGCCTCCCTGCCTGGCCCCACACTCCCCATCATGTTCTTTATCCAGCCCGATTTGTTCAGCTGCATTCTCACCTGCTTAGAGCCCTAATTCCAAACTGAACATGTGCAAGACACAGTAAAACTATGAGTTTTTAAAAATCATTGGTTGTCAAATATGTTTTAAACAACTGTTTATGCCCAGCTAGGAAGTGAAGTTTATTTAAAGTTAGAACGCCTGTAATTAGTACATTTAAAAAACAACAACAACAACCATTAGTTACACATTTTGGGAAAGAATAGCCAGGAAACTGCATCTGTAAATAGACAATGTAGATTTTCCTTCAGATGAGTGTGTGAACACCTGCGTGGCCCCAGGGCTCTGAGGGACAGGGCCTGGAATGAGTCTTCATGTTCTCAGCTCCTGCCGCTCTTACTGGCCCCATTGCTGCCAATCTCCTGGGATTCCTGGGTCCTGGAAACGCAGCAGCAACAGTGAGACTCAGGCCAACAGTCGGCCCGCTGGCGAGCACTGCAGGCATGGTCATGACAGTTTTGAATAATTAGGTGTGAGGAATGTTTTTAACCAAAGGCCTCAAAGCATCTGAAGCCTGGTTCCAAAGTCAAGGAGTCAAGAGAATGAGTCTGGGGCACAGGGTGGTTCGTGGCGCAGACCTCTAACATGGAGGTTTCATGACTGCATTCCTGGATACTGACACAATTCTATGTCGCTCTCTCAAACGGAAACCATGTGAGCAGCTGGAGAACTCAACCTTCTAGAGAGGGATCTAGATGTTGACACCAAAGTCAGACACACCTGGTCTCCTGGTGTCCTCCAGTACTATGGCCGTGCGGAGCTGCAAGCGTCTGATCACAGGTAGGTCCTCACTTCGATGGCATTTTCTCCTGTGCTTGGGAAGGCAGCTTCTCTCTCTCCACAGGGAACTGCATGCTTTGCCCGTAAGGATGTGTGTGCGCATGTGGGTGTATGTGTGCATAAATATACCAAAGAACACAGAATGACAGAACAGATAGCTGTGGACCCACCACCAAGAATTCCTAAATGTTAGCGTTTTGTCGTTGCTCCATATCATAAATGACATCATTTATGACAATTTCGAAGTTGCAGCCTATGTACTTTGTGACTTTTATATTTTCTTAAATGATGTCATTATGCAGCTTTTTTGTTACTGTTTTTGAGATACAGTCGTATTGATGTTTAGATCTGGTTCATTCATTTGTAACTGCTGTCTAGGATCCCACTAAATATATCCATGGAACTCACAACTTACCCATTTACCTCTTGACGAATGTTTTCTCCAGGATTTTATTATTACAAATGGCGTCTCCCTGTGTCACCCAGGCTGGAGTGTAGTGGTGTGATCTTGGCTCACTGCAACCTCCGCCTACCAGGTTCAAGGATTTCTCCTGCCTCAGCCTCCCGAGTATCTGGGATTACAGGTGCATGCCATGCCTGCCTAATTTTTGTATCTTTAGTAGAGATGGAGTTTCACCATGTTGGCCAAGCTGGTCCCAAACTCCTGACCTCAGGTGATCCACCCACCTCGGCCTCCCAAAGGGTTGGCATTACAGGTGTAAGCCACCGTGTCTGGCCCTGGTATGCCGGGCTTTTTTAATGCTCTGTGCCTCACGCATTGAGGATGGGGTGGATGCTGCAGAGAGAGCGCAGTGGGCACTTGGATGGAGGCAGAGGGAGACTTACCCTGCAGAACGTCTTTAAAGACAGAGGACAGGATGGCATTTGAGGGTGTGAATAAGGAAGAGTTTGACCTTCCCAAGGCTGCTGCCAAAACTCTCACATCAGTTTCAACTTTTACAAGGGAAAAAATTAAGAAAAGGAAGGTGGGGAGCAGCTGTCAACCAAAAAGCCTATTTTATCTTTTGAGACATAGTCCTCCAGGCTGGAGTGCAGCGGTACGATGTTGGCTCACTGCAACCTCCACTCCCAGGGTTCAAGCGATTCTCATGTCTCAGCCTCCCAAGTAGCTGGCGTTACAGGTGTGCATCAACACGCCTCGCTGATTTTTGTATTTTTAGTAGAAACAGCATTCTGCCATGTTAGCCAGGCTGGTCTCCAACTCCTAGCCTCAAGAGATGGGGTTTCACCATGTTGGTCAGGCTGGTCTCAAACTCCAGACCTCGTGATCCACCTGCCTTGGCCTCCCAAAGTGCTGGGATTACAGGCGTGAGCCACCATGTCCAGCTGAGTTGAGCTGTTTTCAATAAGACTATGTAGTTTTTGTAATATAGGATTTTCTAAATGTAAAGAGTAATGGCCATCCCTATGTCATAATTACCATAAGGTTTGCGTTATTTCCTGCTGGACTGTTTTCCTGTTTATGTCATTGATTTTTACATTATTCCTAATGATTGCATAGTGTGTTATATGAATGTATCAGAACTGTTTCCCCATTAAGAAACAGAGCATGTTGGCCGGGCACAGTGGCGGTGGCACACACCTGTAATCCCAGCTACTCGGGAAGCTGAGGCAGGAGAATCACTTGAGTCTGGGAGGCGGAGGTTGCAGTGAGCCAAGGTTATACCAGTGCACTGCAGCCTGGGTGACAGAGGGAGAGACCATCTCAAAAAAATAAACAGAGCATTTCCTTTTTTTCCCCTCCCATCAATAATGCTGTAAATGATCAACCTCATGGTTAAATAAAGTCTGAGAATCGAGATTACTAGGTGAAGAGAGATGAACAATTTTGGAACTCCGTGTAAAGTGCCAAACAGTCCTCTGAAAAGCCTGCACCCTGGGCAGAGTGCAGGCGCCCACTTCCCTCTGTCCTTGGCAGTACCAAGGATCACCACGGCCAAAATCTTTGCTGATGGCTGGTTATTTTCCAAGTGCCAGGATACCTCTTTAGAGCGCCACACTCTATTTTTCCTCTCAAATGATCCTTAGATTAAAATGCCAAGGTGACACTAAGATGAAGGAAAGATGAGGACTAAAACGCCAGGCAGGGCCGCTAGCCTGCAAATCCACTTGCTGGCGGACACATTCTCAGGTTGTTGACTGTTTACAGAGAGCCCTGGGAGACAGAGGCTGGGGACTGGAGGCAGGGTGTGTGGACATCCGTCCCAGGCTCATGTCATCCCTCTTTTGTTCCTGTTTCACGCAGACCCGTGCTGGCGATCGTGGAGGTGGAAGTTCAGGAAGTCGATGTGGGTGCTCGGGAGAGGGTTTTCCAGGAAGTGTCCTCTTTCCAGGGCCCCCTGGATGCCACTGTTGTTGTTAACCTTCAGTCACCGACCTTAGAAGAGAAAAATGAGTTTCCCGAGGACCTGCGAACTGAACTCATGCAGACCTTGGGGAATTACGGGACAATTGTTCTCGTCAGGTAACTGCTGCCCTGACTGATGTGGGGTCCAGGGGATGTCGGTGAGGATCTGTAAGAGCTGCCGGGTCGTTCTTGGCATTGACTTAGCGTTTCATTTATTCCAGGATCAACCAAGGGCAGATGCTGGTGACTTTTGCAGACAGCCACTCAGCTCTCAGTGTCCTAGATGTGGATGGCATGAAGGTATGCTGTGCTGTAGTTGGCCACACTGTGGATGGGAGCTGGTCAAGCCCTGTTTTCACGTGGGCATGTCTTTTCCCCTCCTCTTGCCCTGACTTGTGGCCCAACCTGTGCCTTTCTTTTCTTTTTTTTTTTTTTTTTGTTTGAGACAGGATCATGCTCTGTCATTCAGGCCAGAGTGCAGTGATGCAATCACAGCTCACTAAAGCCTTGAACAACCAGACTCAAGCAGTCCTCCCATCTCAGCTTCTCAAGTAGCTGGGACCCAGGCATGCCACCATGCCCAGCTAATTTTTCAAACTGTTTGTAGAGACAGGGTTTCGCTCTGTAGCCCCAGCTGGAGTACAGTGGGACAGTCATGGCTCTCACTGTAACCTCAGCCTCCCAGGCTCCAGTCATCCTCCCGCCTCAACCTCCCAACGTGTTGAGATTACAGGCATGAGCTTTCATGCCTCGCCACCAATCTGTCTTTGTGTGTAGACACCATACGCAGGATAGAGTTTGGATTCTTCACTCTGGTTCTGAGGTGTCTCATGTCCAGCTCTGGCTACTTGCAGAATAGGGAAGAAGGCTGGGTGTGGTGGCTCACACCTGTAATCCTAGCACTTTGGGAGGCCGAGGTGGGCAGATCACCCAAGGTCAGGACATTGAGACCAGCCTGGACAACATGGCAAAACCCCGTATCTACTAAGAATACAAACATTAGCCAAGCATGGTGGCTTGCGTCTGTAGTCCCAGCTACTCAGGAGGCTGAGGCAGGAGAATCACTTGAACCCAGGAGGCAGAGGTTGCAGTGAGCCGAGATCACACCACTGCACTGCAGCCTGGGTGACGAATTAAATTCTGTCTCAAAAAACCAACCAAACAAACAAACAAACAGAACAGGGAGGAAGAATGTCAGTCATGGTGTTCTGCGCTGGACGGCAGCTGTAGCCAGCAGCTGCAGGAGGTTAGCCATTTTAGAGTATAGTTCCCACCGAGTTACTTGATGTGTCATTGCTCGCACCTCCATGTGGGAGACTGTTCCAGTCTTTCTCTTTAGAGTATGTATTTTGGAATATGCAGCTCATAGGTAGTTTCCATTTTTATAGTATCTTGGTTTTAAGTTTGTACCGAGGGGGAAGCTGGAGATGAGAGTTTAACTTTTTTTTTTTTGAGATGGAGTCTCGCTCTGTCACCTAGGCTGGAGTGCAGTGGCACAATCTTGGCTCACTGCAGCCTCCGCTTCCCAAATTCAAGCATTTCTGCCTCAGCCTCCCAAGTAGCTGAGACTACAGGCACATACCACCATGCCCAGCTAATTTTTGTCTTTTTAGTAGAGATAGGGTTTCGCCATGTTGGTCAGACTGGTGTCAGACTCCTGACTTCAAGGGATCCACCTGCTTCGGCCTCTCAAAGTGCTGGGATTACAGGCGTGAGCCACTGCACCAGGCCTAGTTCAACCTTTTTTCAACCAGATGTATGAAAGCTATGCTGAGTCCCCCTGAGGTCTGGACCCTTGGTTTTTCATGGCCAAACATAAATATTGGCCTCACTGTGGGTGTGTGGGTTTGGATGAGAAGCACTATGTGATAAACAGGACTGGTCATGATTTTTATTTATTTCCTGGGTGGCTGCTCTGCCCTTCCAGGTAAAAGGCAGAGCAGTGAAGATCAGACCGAAGACAAAGGACTGGCTGAAAGGTTTGCGAGAGGAGATCATTCGGAAACGAGACAGCATGGGCCCTGTGTCTCCCACTGCCAACTCCTGTTTGCTGGAGGAAAACTTTGACTTCACAAGTTTGGACTATGAGTCAGAAGGTTAGTTACCCTGCAGGGAGGGATGAGGAGCTGTTCTTCCAGCAACAGGGCTGAGCTTTTAAGGACACCTTCTAAAGCCTACCTTGCATTAAGTGACAGAGGACACCTGCAGGGCAAGCCCTTCATTCCATGTGATGAACGTATTCATATGTGTGGATGATGCATGCTATGGTACCTGGGAACGGAGGTGTCTAAACTTATGCTACAAACACTGGCTTTGAGGATGGCAGAGCTGTGGGCGTACCAGTGGAGCAGGGGTACCATCCCTGCTGGCACTCAGACCCTGGGTTGCAGGGCAGGGTGCAGGTGTCCAGACAGGAGCCAAACTAGTCCCACTGATAAAAGACCATGCCTTTACCCCTCATTGTTTTCACCTTAATTGTGATTCATCTCCTTCTCCCAGGGGATATTCTTGAAGAGGATGAAGACTACTTGGTGGATGAACTCAGTCAGCCTGGGGTCTCAGACAGTGAATTGGGAGGAGATGACCTCTCTGATGTCCCCAGCCCCACAGCAGTGGCTCCGCCCAGCAAGTCACCTGCACTCACCAAAAAGAAGCAACATCCGACGTACAAAGGTAGCCTGACCCTTTTTTTCTCAGGAGCCCCTGCCCACAGAGTCAGCTCAGTATAGACTTCTCTTTTTCTCTCAGCAGTTGGGCACTGTGTGATGTCAAGTTTGCAGGTCCCAGGAGAGACTTAAACCAGGCAGGCCCAGTGAGTGGTGGGGACAGCTCTGCAGAGGCAGCCAGCTCCCACACCCTGAGTTCCTCTAGTTACTTTATTTTTTTACAGTAACTTGTACCCCCGTAACACACCAGATTCAAGATAATTCCTGTTTCCTCTGGACATCCAAATGGTTGTATATTTGTGATTATTTCCTGCCCCCCGACAGAACTCTTCTGATTTGGCCGGGCACAGTGGCTCACACCTATAATCCCACACTTTGGGAGTCTGAGATTGGCAGATTGCTTAAGGTCAGGAGTCGAGACCAGCCTGACCAACATGGCAAAACCCCGTTCTCTACTAAAAATATTTTTAAAAAATTAGCAGGGCATGGTGGTGCACCTGCCTATAATCCCAGCTACTCAGGAGACTGAGGCAGGAGAATCACTTGAACCCTAGAGACAGAGGTTGCAGTGAGCCAAGATTGCCCTACTGCACTCCATCTTGGGCGACAAAGTGAGACTCCATCTCAAAAAACAAAACAAAACAAAACAAAACCTTCTGATTCAATCCCAATAGAGACATATTCCATATCTGTGTCCTGAGTTGCTGGTGTGTTGTCACATTTATATAATATTATATTGTCATATAGTCATGCTACATGGCCATATCATTGTATCATTTTAGACTTAAGAGGGCCTGAAAGGTCACATAGATTGAGCCACACACCCTTAGATTAAATGATACAACTTTTTTTTTTGAGACAGGCTCTCATTCTGTCTCCGAGGCTGGAGTGCAGTGATAAGATCTCAGCTCACTGCAACCTCCAACTCCCAGGCTCAAGCGAACCTCCCACCTCAGCCTCTCCAGTACCTGGGACTACAGGCATGCACCACCATGCCCAGATAGTTTTTTGTAGAGACGGGGTCTCACTGTGTTGCCCAAGCTAGTCTCAAACTCCTGGGCTCAAGTGATCCTCCCACCTAGGCTCCCAGAGTGCTGGGATTACAGGCGTGAGTCCCTGCACCTGGCTACTGTTTTGAGTAACTTTTGAAGCCCACTAGTGTTACATGGCTGGCAGATAGGGTAGTTCATGCTTCAGTGTCAACTACATTGATGTTCCATTCATAGGCAGGCATGCCTCTAGCTGTGAGTCACTGCGTCCCGAGTTGGAGGATGCTCTAACCAGCAGATGCAGGAGCTCAGCCATGCATTGGTGCTGAGAGAAAGAACTGGGGCTGAGAGAAAGAACAGAGCTGAAAGTGAATTAAGGTACCTCAGGAAGGGTACTTTGCCAGGAGAGGTACAAAGACCTCCAAGCCCCCTTGACTGTATGCTGGTCCCCACACTGACCAATAACTTGCCTACACCGAACCATCAGGAGCTTTTAAATGTATGGCTTTTTGAGCCCTGCCAGAGAGATCTGGATTTGGCAGGAGTGGGGTGGGACCCTGGAAGCCTGGCATTTCACCAAGCTTTCCAGGTGATTTGGACGCACAGCCAGGTGTGGGGACTTCTGCCCAAAACCAAAGCAGCAGTCTTCTCCAGTGCATCGAGGTGGTTCTGTATGTTGCTCCTGCCAGGGGCGTCTGCCCTGGAGCTAAGTGGCTGGAGGGATGTGCTCTTCCCATGAGAAGGACCCTTTTCTTGACCGTCATGCAGGCAGCCTCTGGAGCCAGTGTACGTGTGAGCACAGGTTCTCCTTTGCATGAAGAAGCTAACAGAGCGACACGAGACACATGGGTGGCTTTGCTACCTGGCGGGCATTGAGAGGGTCTTCCCTTGATGCTATGGGGTTATTCAGCCATTCCCATTTGTAGGAGAAATCCTGCTTTTCCCCAGTTCCAGCCTCCAGGACACATGGGGTGGAGCTACTGGATGCAAGGAGTGGGGTGTCCGGGCCAAAGTGAACTAGAGAGGGCCATGCTGTGGGGCAGCCCCAGGGCTGCTGATTTGATCTGTAGTGAAGCAGGAGCCGTGCCTCCTCAAGACTCCTCAGCCTCTTGGAAGGTGCATGCAGGGCAGGTCAAGATGGCAGACCCTTGGGAGTGGCTGGCCATGGGCTCACAGGGTTTGGGATTTGACAAGGGAGCAGGATGCCCAATCCTAAGCACTGGCCACTGCATGCCAGACTGCCCTGCTGCCAGAGCAGGGAGAGTACCCTCAGCTTCCTCAGTCAGTGTGTTGAGTGAGGAATTCAAAACACCTCCCCATGATTGGGTGACCCCTCAGGGGCTGTTTGCAACTGTCTCCTCCACTCTGTGCGAGTCTTGTTATTTCACAAGAAAACAAGCTTTGAAATAGCTCAGTGTCTCTCAAGTCTGAGAAACACATGTCCGTGGTTCACTGAATGTTCCAAGCAGGCACTGGGTACCCTCCCCACCCCTACCCCTCGCCAGGAGACAGGAATGCCCATTTCTGGACAGAGCCTTCAGCTGTCCTGCATCAGGTCCCCCTGCCACACTCGGCCTCCTGTGCTCAGACCCGTGTCTGACACACCTGAATATGGAACAGACTGTTGTACTCATGCCCCGCCATGTCCTCCAGATGACGCGGACCTGGTGGAGCTCAAGCGGGAGCTGGAAGCCGTCGGGGAGTTCCGCCACCGTTCTCCGAGCAGGTCTCTGTCGGTCCCCAACCGGCCTCGGCCACTTCACCCCCCGCAGAGACCCCCCCCTCCAAGTAAGACTCTGCTTGCTTTCAGCTCCCTGGATGCCTGCCGGGAATAACTGCGCATTCCCTGCTACTGAAAACACGGCTTGGAATCCACTTCTCCCGGCCTTCGGGACCCCACAGGGCCTGTTCCTCCTTGGGCTCCTTTTTGTTGTAAATACAGGATGTGTTTGATGTCAGGGCTAGTTGTGTTTCTCATGGCACGTTAACCGGTTCCTTTCCAAAACTGCTCTTCACCCTGGAGCTGGGCTTTGGCTTCAAGCTGCTGTCCTTTGGCAGCTTTAGAGAATGCAGAATCGGGCCACAGCCATGGGAGGGACGTGAGCTTCGTAGTCAGATGCGTCTCTCCTCAGCTGCTGTGCAGTCCTCGCTCTGCTGCTGAGAAAACAAAGCTGTGATGTGCTTTTGATCAGCTTCCATCTTCCCACCACTGTTTACTTCTCCCTCCCCAAAAATATGATGATCAGACTTAGATCTTCCTAAACTGCTACTTCAGAATTGGGCTCATCGCAGCTGATATCACAGTAGCAACCAATGACAAGCCTCATGCCCAGATATAAAAATAACCTAAACATAACATGTCTAAGTCATCTATTATTGTGGAAATTTTAGAGATAACTATAAAGAACAAAATCTTAAAATTCACTTGAAAACCTTCAGATAAAATTGTTAAAAAGACTTATTTTTCCAGTTACATGTATCTGTAGCAACGTACTTTTTTTTTTTTTAAACAGAATTAATACCTATTTTCTCTGGTCAATTGTCTTCCATTTAACGGGCTCTATTTTCTGTGTCATTAAATCTTCTAAAACATGATTTGTTAATGGCTGCAAGTATAATTTGAAAGTATAATTTAACAGTTTATTCCCCTGCTTTGGATTTTTTTTTTTTTTTTTTTTTTTTGAGATGGGCTTATTCTGTCGCCCAGGCTGGAGTGCAGTGATCTCACAGCTCACTGCAGCCTTGACCTCCTCGGCTCAAGCAGTCCTCCCACCTCAGAGCTAAGACACAGGCACATGCCAGCAGTCTTGGTGGGGTTTTTTGTTTGTTTTTGTTTTTGTAGAGACAGTTTCACCATGTTTCCCAGGCTTCGGTTTTTGAAATATTTTCTTCCCCACAAATATTTTAAAAATCTGGTCCTTGGGCCAGGCACAATGGCTCACGCCTGTAATCCCAGCATTTTGGGAGGCCAAGGCAGGCAGGTCGCCTGAGGTCAGAGTTCCAGACCAACCTGGCCAGCATGATGAAACCCTGTCTGTACTAAAAAAAATACAAAAATTAGCTGGGCGTGGTGTCAGGGGCTTGTAATCCCAGCTATTCAGGAAACTGAGACAGGAGAATTGCTTGAACCTGGGAGGTGGATGTTGCAGTGAGCCAGGATCATGCCACTGCACTCCAGCCTGGGCAACAGAGTGAGACACCGTCTCAAAAAAAAAAAAAATTGTTCCTAGTAATAGTGTTTGGAACCATTTCAAAATTGATTGGTTTTTATATCAGATCTGGCTCCCCAGGATTAAAGTTTGCATTCCAGTAACGCATTATCATCGACATCAATAGGCAGACACTGGCAGAATCTAGTGAGAAACTCCATAGAGAGCCCAGGAGGGCCCGGCTCTGTGGGCGCCCTAGGTGCCAAGTGAGTACTCGCACCTCGCCGTGCCTGTGGTCTGCTGGGACATCCGCCTCGTCTAGTCGGGCTCCTGGCAGCTGGCTGGGAAACTGTGCTTCACTGAGATTGAGATTCTGCACTCCTTGGTTTTCACAGCCGGTTTAATGGTGAAAAAGTCGGCTTCAGATGCTTCCATCTCCTCTGGCACCCATGGCCAGTATTCGATTTTGCAGACGGCGAGACTCCTGCCAGGAGCACCTCAGCAACCAGTGAGTTCTTCTGCACTCATTTCACACCCAGGGGTTTTGCTGCAGGAGTGTGGGATCTCTCTTCCCAGCGAATATGTAGATTTATGTGTCTCTAACCCTCTACCTGCTCACCAGCGCATCTCCAAACCCTATAACCTACCCTCGAAGGTCCTCCATAGGGCTTTTAAATGGTTGTATGGAGTGTTCTAAAGAAAATCGATTTTGAAAAATCCCAAGTATCCCTGGTTTCCAGACTCATCCGTTTCTCTCTCTTCCCATTCTTGCCTCTGCCTTTAGTGTAGGGACAGAGCATTGCTTGGTAGAAGGGAAAAGGGGAGAAATTCAGATTGTCATCCTGGGAAAATGATGATCATTCTGGAGTCAAGTTAGTTGAGAGAACAGGCTAAAAAGACATCTAAATAATGAAGCTGGGGAACACACTAGTAAGAGGAACAGCTGTAGAGGATTGTGAAGGTGCAGGGTTCCAGAGGGTTCCATGAACTGCTGGGAAAGAGAGCAGGTGAAGGCAGGGGAGTAGAGGGAAGAGAGGGGAGGCCAGGTGCTGGGGGGGATGCTGTGCCTGGGATGCCTCTGGGGAGCTGGGCCTGGTCAGGTGCTTGTGCAGCCCTGGCAGGTGGAGGGGTGACTGGAGGCCAGTGGTTTACAGTCGTGAAAATAGGTCATGAAAGGCAACCCAGATGCCAGATGAAGAAGAAGAAAAAGCACTTTGGCCGTGCGTGGTGGCTCACGCCTGTAATGCCAGCAGGAGGCCGAAGCAGATGGATCACCTGAGGTCAAGAGTTCAAGACCAGCCTGGCCAACATGGTGAAACCCTGTCTACTAAAAATACAAAAATTAGCTAGGCGTGGTGGCAGGTGCCTGTAATCTCAGCTATGTGGGAGGCTGAGACAGGAGAATCGCCTGAACCCAGGAGGCAAAGGATGGAGTGAGCCAGGATTACACCACTGGACTCCAGCCTGGGCAACAAAGCAAAACTCCATCTCAAAAAATAAAAATAAAGCACTTTTAAAGAAACACATATCTGGAAGGTATTTTAATAGCTCAGCCAGACCATGGAAAGAGTGGCCTCTGATTTTGCTTTCTGACTTTAACCTGGTTATTGAAATAAAGACAGAAGATGATCAGTCCATATACAAAAATCTGTAACCACACAGCTTTGGAGACAAGGGTCATTAGGTCTCTAGTGTATGGCGTTCTTGCTGGAAAGAGAGTGCTCCTGGGGGAAGAGAGGATGGCAGGGTGTGGCGGAGGCTGGAGTTTGTATGGTCAGCATCGTCTGGGGGAGCCCTGCGCAGACCCGCAGATAGCACATGCATCCATGAGGCTGTCTTCCTGCCTGTGCTGATACTCTGCTCTTCCTCATTCTGCCCTCAAGCCCAAGGCTCGGACTGGAATAAGTAAACCTTATAATGTCAAGCAGATCAAGACCACCAATGCCCAGGAGGCAGAAGCAGCAATCCGGTGTCTCCTGGAAGCCAGAGGAGGTAGGTCTTCTGCTGGAAGGGGAAACCCGATTCTCCTTTTCTTTTCCTCTCCCCACTAAAAGTGGTCTAGAAATGAAAATAACTCTTTATTCTTCTGGAGGCAACATTAAATGAAAGCATCCTTTAGCAACATTTTATATAAATCTGTACTGATTGTCCATTTAAAATTCAGTATATGAAAATCATTCCAGGGCTCTTAAGCAGCATCTAGAGGATAAACTGAAATAAACTAAATTGAATTTTAAAAACAGGTTAATGCTGCCAGCACTAAGTCATTCTGCCAGCTTTATAAAAAAGACAAAGTTATAGTGTTTGTCCTAATTTCAGGCATAAAATCTACCTTTTAAATGGCTGGCAAGTGTAAGTAAAGTTCTTAGTGTCAGGCAGGGACCTCTTTCCTACCATCCTGTCTGTTTTCTCTTGCGGTTACTTCACTGAACCCACATTAGTCAGCTTGGCCTCTCCCCACTTCGTTCATAATCACTGGTAATTTACACTTTTACATTTGGCCTTGGCTTTGTTCCAGAATCTCCTTTGGCAAGAAGAGAGTGTGTCCTTTTTTTTTTTTTTTTTGAGACTGAGTTTCACTCTGTCACTTGGGCTAGAGTGCAGTGGCTCAACCCCAGCAACCTCTGCCTCCCAGGTTCAAGCAATTCTCCTGCCTCTGCCTCCTGAGTAGCTGGGACTATAGCCACGTACCACCATGCCCAGCTAATTTTTGTATTTTTAGTAGAAACAGGGTTTCACCATGTTGGCCAAGCTGGTCTCGAGCTCCCAACCTCAGGTGATTCACCCGCCTCAGCCTCCCAAAGTGCTGGGATTACAGGCGTGAGCCACCATGCCCAGCTGACTGTGCCCTTTGAAAAGGTGTGAGCAATCACCATTGCCTAGTTTGCTTTTAGTCAGCATGTTTAACTGCTTTGGAATTCTCAAATAATATTCAAGGGGGCATGCGTTAAAAGGTTGAGAACTACTGTTATAGAATAATACTGCCACAAATGGTTTCTTTTTTTATTTTAGAAAAATAACTAAAACTATGGATTTAACAAAGCAAGTTTCCATCAGCTGATAAATGGATAAACAAAATGTGATCCATCCATACAATGGAATATTGTTAAGCCATTGAAAAAGAACGCAGTGCTGATACGTACTACCTCATAGGTGGACCTTGGAAAGATTTTGCTATGTGAAAGAAAGAAGGAAAACAATAAAGGCCACATAGTATACCATCCCTTTTTATGAAATGGCCACAGCCAGCAAATTCATGGGGTCAGAAAGCGCTTTGTGCTTCCCAGGGTCTGGAAAGAGGGGTGGGTGGGGAGTGACTGCTGATGGTGTGGGGCTTCTTTTTTGTGTGATGAAAATGTTCTGGAGTTAGACGGTAGTGATGGTTGCACAACTTTGTGAATATAATAAAAACAATGAAGGGTACACTTAAAAAGGGTCAGTTTCACCGTATGTGAATTATATCACAATAAAGCTGTTTAAAAAAACAAAAACTAGTGATGTAGACGTTACTAGAGGTTTGAAATCTACCTGCAGTCTCAGCTTAACACGCTCTTGGTCATGGCCCCACTGAGATTTGGATGTATGTGGATCATCTCCCCTGAGAAATGTAAGTACACATGAGACTTTGCATATGGTCTCAGGGTCTCACTGGTCCACATCCAGACTATCCACAGACCCCAGATCACCACCCCTGCTAGGAAGGTGAATGTGAAAAGCTGGGGCTACAGGGCGCAGTGGCTCACGCCTATGATCCCAGCACTTTGGGAGGCTGGGGCAGGAGCATTGCTTGAGTCCAGGAGGTCAAGGCAAAAATTTATTTTATTTCATTTTATTTATTTATAACAAGAGTCTCACTTTGTCATGATGTGGCGCAATTTCAGCTCACTGTAAGCTCTGCCTCCCAGAGGAGGAGATTGAAGTGATTCTCCTGCCTCAGCCTCCCGAGTAGCTGGGACTACAGGCACACACCACCACACCTGGCTACTTTTTGTATTTTTAGTAGAGATGGGGTTTTACCATGTGGGCCGAGCTGGTCTTGAACTCCTAACCTCATGATCTGCCCACCTTAGCCTCCCACAGTGCTGGGATTATAGGCATGAGCTACCGTGCCCTGCCCAAAAAATTTAAAATTAGCTGGGCATGGTAGTTCGCACCGATAGTCCCAGCTACTTGGGAGGCTAAGGTAAGACTGCGTGAGCCCAGGAGTTCCAGCAACATAGTGAGACCTCATCTCTGCTAAAAATTAAAAAAAAAAAAAAATAGCTGGGCATGGTGGCACTCACCTGTAATCCCAGCTACTCAGGAGGCTGAAGCGGGAGAACTACTGGAGCCTGGGAGGTTGAGACTGCAGTGAGTCGTGATTGCACCACTGCACTCCAGCCTGGGTGACACAGCACAATCCCACCTTAAAAAATAAATAGTGAGAAAAGCTGGGACTGAACCTAGCTGGTTAGTCCGGAAATACACTGAATTAGTAAATTACCCTTAGGATGTAGACTGTCTAAAGAGGAAATCATGCAGTGAATTACCTCACCCTTGACACTGCCGCCATGTGGTTTTATGTTTCAGGTGCCTCAGAAGAAGCCTTCAACACCATGGCCCTGAGGGACCAAGCATCCTCTGAACCAGAGCCCATACCAGGGGCAGCCAAACCAGAGACCCCACAGGCACCCCCGCTCCTGCCCCGCCGCCCCCCACCCAGAGTTCCTGCCATCAAGAAGCCAACCTTGAGAAGGACAGGAAAGGTAACAGCCTGGTAACATAAAGCCTCTTACTCCTAAGTCGCTCGGATATCTTGATAGATAAGAATTGTGTCTCACAGACAAAAAATCTAGTTACCTATGGACATCCTCTGTTCATGAGTTCCAGACACAGGCGTGTCTTTGGGGAAGGGTTTGACGACTGCTTCCTCCCTCATGCCCCACTGTGTCTTGGCTCTGGCTGAGAAGAACAAGGGGTCCACTGTCTTCGCAGATTGTCAGTGTGACGAGAACAGCTTGGAGGTATTATGCTTCCTAAGTGTTCTGGATCCCCAGAGGGAAACACAGTGGGATGCTTTTCCCCTCGTGTTCTGGTACCGCGCATTTGCGTGTGGTCTGTGTTGTGTGCACGTGGTTTCAAGGCATTAGAAAAACAGTAACCGATTCCCAGATTTGCCAGGTTCCAGGCTCTCGTGTGGCCTCGGTCTATGTGAGGTTCCACAGCTTTTCTTGACACTTTTCTTGCAGATTGTTTTTTGCTCTCGCTCTCAAGCTTCTCAGCCTTGCTTACTGCTTCAAAGACATGAGTTTGTAAGGACAGTAGCAGCCCAAAGACTGGCATCTGTAGACACATCTGGATCTTCCGTTTGATCTCAGTGTTCTAGTGACGGACCCTCGGTAATCCCTCCCTGGTCATCCCAGCGTGGCGCCGCTTCCCCCAAGGGAGTGTGAGCAGTGACTTTGGCTTCACTCTTGGCAGCACTTGCTTTGTAGTTCCTGGGTTGCTCTTCCATCCCACGTTGGCTCATTGCCATCCATCCCTTGTCCATGCCTCCTTACAAAGTGGACCTTTTTCGTCCCCCTTTTTCCCGTTCAGATGTTCCTCGACTTAAAATGGGGTTATGTCCCCAATAAACCCATCATAAGTTGAAAATTACCATGTCAAACCTGCATCTAATACACCTAACCTACCAAACGTCATAGCCTCGCTGACCTTAGACATGCTCAGAGCATATATACATTGGCCTACAGCTGGGGAAAAAAGATCTAACACAGCCTATTTTATAATACTAAAAGTAAAAGGTCAAACTTCAAAATTTGAAGTATGGTTTCTATGGAACATTAGCACTTGTGAACTGGGATCAAGTGGAAAATCCTAAGTGGAACCATTGTTAAGTCGGGGACCACCTGCTTTGTCTTTTCTTATAAAAGCCAGAAGCAGAAATGGATTCATTTTCCCAACCCGCTGCACAGAAGTTAGAGTAAAAAGCTGTTGGAAAAGAGATTTTTTTTTTTTTAGCTTGTTTTCTAAAGAACCAAAAGAAATTCTGAAATGCCAGTGTTTACTAGCCTACTGATCTCCATTTCTGTACGAAAGCTTCATTTTGACTGTGCAGTTGTTTTCTTTGTGATAGAGCTGAATCAAAACCAAGGCAGTGTAAAGGTTTCCATTTTTTACCAATATTTAAGCATAAAAGATTCAGGGAGCAACGTGCAGTGGCTCACACATGTAATCATAGCACTTTTGGAGGCCGAGGCAGGTAGATCACCTGAGGTCAGGAGTTCGAGACCAGCCTGACCAACATGGTGAAACCCCATCTCCACTAAAAATACCAAAATTAGCCGGACGTGGTGGCACATGCCTGTATTCCAGCTACTAGGGAGGTTGAGGCAGGAGAATTGCTAGAAGGTGGAGGTTGCAGTGAGCTAAAATTACACCACTGCACTCCAGCCTGGGAGACAGAGTGACACTCTGTCTCAAAAAAAACAAAAACAAAAAAATTCAAGGAGAAAGTATATATATCCATTGGTTCTTCAGTTAGCTCAGTATTGTAACACAAGTTACTTCACCCTAGCGTAGTCCAGACCATACATCAGCCCAGGCTGCATTTTCAAAGAGTGTTTTCAGAGAGTTTCCCTTACTTTCAGTAAGGGAAAAGCATAACCCCATTTCCTAAAATGAAAAAGAGAAGTTTGTCTCTGATTATTTACTGTGGCCCTGGTTTTTAAATTTCCACTCATTTTCATTGGACCTGCTGGTGTGACCTGATAAATGCGTGTTTCTCCTGTGCTTTTTCTTACCTGGTCACATTTCTGGCATCCCACACATTCTCAAATCTTGAATTTGCTAGAATGTCAGCTTGATCTCATCTCTGTTCTCTGCTGACCACTCAGTGTCCTCTGATCATCAGCTTCCCAGGTGTTGGCTTCTTATTTACACTCTTTGTCCTACCTTTTCTCAGCCCCTGTCACCAGAAGAACAGTTTGAGCAACAGCCTTGCCATTTTACAATCGGGCCCCCGGAGACAAGCCTTGAGACCCCTCCTATCGCCACAGCCCCTCAAGTCCCTCCTGTTCCCAAACCAAGAACATTTCAGCCAGGGAAAGTTGCAGAGAGGAGGCCAAGCCACGGAAAGCCAGCATCAGATGAAGCCCCTCCTGTGGCAGGAGCCTCTATGCCACCACCTCCAGAGGCACCATCTCTTGTGCCCAAAGTCCCCCCGAGGAGGAAGAAGTCAGCCCCCGCAGCCTTCCACCTGCAGGTGCTGCAGAGCAATAGCCAGCTCCTCCAGGGCCTCACTTACAACAGCAGCGGCAGCGCCTCTGGTCACCCACCTGACACGGGCACTGCCTTCCTACAAGGGGACTTTCTCAGCACTTCCTCTGCTATAAGCCCCGACAGCAATGGCACCAAAGCAATGAAGCCAGGGGCAGCCCCCCTTCTTGGCGATTATCAGGACCCCTTCTGGAACCTTCTTCACCATCCTACACTGTTGAATAACACTTGGCCTTCTAAGAGCTCAGACCCTTTGGACTCAGGGACCAGGAGCCCTGAAAGGGCTCCCACAGACCCAGCATCAGCTAGAGCTTCAGCTGCCAAGGCGGAGCTGCCACCAGATTGTGAACACAACACCTTGGGTCACTGGGTGACCACGGGTGACCAAGACAAGAGGACAGCACTGCAGGTATTTGACCCACTGGCAAAAACATGACTCTGCGGCTTTGAAGGCCGCCCTCCTGCAAAATGCATACCTTCCTCCCTCCAGGCATCGCTCCACCAGAAGACACACCTATTTAAAGGCACACTGGCTAAAACATTTGTGCATCTGTCACTCTTGTGTAGTTTACAAACATTGTGTCTCTTATTCAGTAAGATGGTTAGCCACTAAAAGATACTTCATTCAAGACTTGTTCATCTGAAGTTTCCTCTTACAGGAATGGGAACTTTCCTGTTAAATTCAGTGTATGGATTTTAGGCAAGGACATCTAGCTGATGAGGCCCGAGAAGTTCTTGCCCATTGAATTTTTAAATGGTCGTTCATTTCATGTTGTCTTTTGTCTTTTGTTTTATTTGTACTTTACAGATTTGGAATAACGTTTTGGAGAGCTGCCTGAAGGCTGATGTATAAAGTAAGGATTAGAGGAAGAGGTCGCTGGGACCATTAGTAGCTGTCCTGGCCCACTTAAACAAGGTTACAGAAAGTCAGAGTTGGAAGCAGCAAAAAGGTCAACCTCATGACTAGACTGTACATTCCCATGAGCCCTCGTGTTTAACTGTGTCCATGTGTATTAACCTTGGTGTGTGCATCCCCGGGAAGCTGGTGTCATACACCGTTTGCCTCTAAAGCATATACCATTAGCTTAACCTTAGCTTAAACTAGCTGAAGACTCCTGTGCCATCTCTTAGACATTGCATGCCCTATCAATTACTATAATCCTGGGCGGTGGCGTGCTACTGAAACCAATTTTCATCCACCATCTAGTCCTTATTGAATGAAATCTCATGGATTCTTTGTTCCACTTATATTCCATACGTACCACATAAAAGCAGTGTGAAAACTCACGCTGGCATGGGATATTGATTCTCATTGTTAGAAAATGGAGAGAATTTCAGCCTCGTCTGTCCGGCTGGAGCTTCAGGATGGAAAGTACTATGTGTCCCTGCATCTAAGAATCCCTAGGGCAGTGTTTCTGGGTTTGCTTATCTCTATATTTATTAGGTTTATTTCTTGCCTATTCATTTTCCCCGCATTTCCAACACCACTTCTCACCTATTCGATAATTGAAAAAGACATTACCATAGTGTTACATTTTTATAGTAATGTTACAAGGTCTAGCATCCATTTGGAGCAGATATTGTGTTTTGGCTATTTAATAAGTTCACTGGTGAAATCTTATTGTGTCACTTGTATGTGGGAGCCTTTCATGTCATAGACTCGTACAGCAGTGATAGAGTGTCGCTCCTCACATGACTGGGAATGTCTGTCCTAAACGCTCACCACTAGGATGGTAAGGATCATCTTGCCTGGGCTATGCCACTCTCTTGTTACCAGTTAGACCTCTGGAATTTCAGAATTAGTTTTCATTGTCACTATCAAGATGTACTATAGATTACTGAAATCTGGCAATCAAAACAAAAGCTACAATAGGCATCTCCTTTCATCTGAAAACTAATACCAGGGAAAGGATAAAAGAAAAAGGAATCTGTGATACACAGAGCTAGACAGATAAGATGCACAGTTGACCAGACATAAAAGGTGGTGTTTAGGTGATCAGGATGCCTTTGGCGGCATTTATGTGCTTTGTGTGATATTTACCTCCATAACAAACACAAAATAAACAGAATGGTCCTTAATAGAGTTTAGGGGAGAGCGCAAGATGGGTTGCTTGGAGAAGCTGATTTGCCAAGATGCACATCGCTACTAATGAGCAAGAGTCAGAAATGAAGTGAAATTGAAGAATTACTTCAAATGCTCTTTTCCTTATCACCTGTTTTCTCACCAAAAAGGAGGTAAATTTGAAAACAGATAAATGTAACAACCAGTCAGGAAAAGTGAGCTCCTCTATTGCTTGCAGTGCTGGAAATAGATCTCATTTTTAGGTTTTCTCTTTGTTCCAGAGAGCAAATAAATGGGACCGAGAATAAAATTTGTTAAGATAGGTGCTCATCTCCTAAGTAGCTCTTCAGAGTCTGACAGTAAGTAAAAACACACAGAATTATGTTGACTTGGGGAAGTGAATCCAAAAAGTTACAAGGTGTTTAAGAGTTAAATATTATTTGATCATGGCTGTCAAATTTAGTGAACAACACAGATTGGATTTTGAGTTGGTAATATGTGGTTCTCAAACAGAATTCTCTTTAAAAAAAAAAAAAAAAGAGGACAATTGGAATTGCCTTATTTTTAAAATCAATGCTTACTAGTTAGTAGCATTCCCAGGTCAGCAGCAGAGTTAATTAAATAATCTTGACAGTGAGCAGCTGCCATCTTGGGGAGTTCATCCTGTCGTTTTTTTAAAGGTTTCGTCTTTGATGCTACCATTCTTGTAGCTTATTTTGTTACTGCTGTTCTCTATTTTGATGCAGATCACTGCAGACTGCTTTAGGTACTCGACAGCTCACCACTGTCTCTCTCATCCCAAGCATAGGCCCTTTTACATCACCATCTTCTCAGACTTCTTGCCTATTCTTAAAATTTGTTTTGGTTAATGGCTGAATTAGGACATCAGCTCAAGCGATTCCTGTAACAGTTTAAAGTTGTTGAAGTTCAAGGCACATAATAAAATTCTTCCTAATGTGTATAAGTATAAGCAAAGTAATGTATCAAAGTGTTCAGTTTACAATGAAGTCATTTCACTGGGAAGAAAAGCTGCAAAGGTTATTGAGGGACTAGTGATTAATAAAATCCTGTAATATTTTTGAAGTGAAAATTTGTACTGAAGTTGCACATGATACCTATTAAATGTTTTTGTCTTTCTTAAAATTGAATTTATTTCTTTTCAGATATGAAGAGAACCTTAGAATATCTGACTAGCCATCTGTTCTGGATCAAATGCAATTACTAGTTATTCCTCTTGAGTTTTGGGTTTTGATTCATTTTTTTAACTATCAAATTAAGTTGAAAAAACAGAAAAGTAATCATTTGATTAAGAATTTATGACTTGAATGCTGCTAGCAGGGACCTCTGCCACAACATGTAATAACTTTATGCTACGTTATCTACAAGACTTGAGAGCTGCTAGAATTCATTTTCTGCATGATTTCATAGCAAACTTATAAAGTCTGAACTGCTAGTTTGAGTCTATTACAACATAGAGGCAGGAGATGGAAGTAGACACTCTTCCAAGTTCTGTTTAGGTTTGCTCTAAACTAATTAATCACACAATACAGGTCATAAATGTTCTCTGATGATTTTTAGAAATAAGAATATAACCTCAAAATAATAAATATGGTTAGTCCTTCCTGACCAGTAAGGAGATATATTGAATTCAATAAATCTGCAGCCAGTTGCAGAAACTTCTTTCCAAGGGAGTGGGGGAGATAGGTTTAAAACACAGTCTCATAAAAGGCAAATTGTTTGCCTGTATGTCAATAAGATAATAGGAGTACAAATGACAGCAGGCACAGTGGCTCATGCCTGTAATCCCAGCACTTTACGAGGGCAAGGTGAGTGGATCACTTGAGGCTGGGTGTTTGAGACCAGCCTGCCCAACATGGTGAAATCCTGTCTCTACTAAAAATACAAAAATTAGCTGGGTGAGGTGGCACACAAGTGTAATCCCAGCTACTCAGGAGGCTGAGACAGGGGAATCCCTTGAGCCTGGGAGGCAGAGGTTGCAGTGAGCTGAGACTGCACCACTGCAATCCAGCCAGAGTGCAACTCTGTCTCAAAAAAATTGAGTACAAATTGAGAGAGTAATCGTGAACAGGGGTTAGGGGAGATTTGGGAGAATCATATAGTATGTAGTGTTTTCCTGAGTTGATAGCTTTTTTTTTTTTTTTTTTTTTTTTTTTTTTTTTGAGATGGAGTCTCACTCTTTCACCAGGCTGGAGTGCATTGGTGTGATCTTGGATCACTGCAACCTCTGTCTCCTGGATTCAAGTGATTCTCCTGCCTCAGCCTCCCATATAGCTGGGACTACAGGTGTGCGACACCACGCCCAGCTAATTTTTGTATTTTTAGTAGAGACGGGGTTTCGCCATGTTGGCAAGGATGGACTCAATCTCTTGACCTCATGATCCACCTGCCTCAGCCTCCCAAAGTGCAGGAATTACTTACAGGTGTGAGCCACCATGCCCAGCCAATCACTCTTTTTTTAGTGCTGAATAATAATTCATTGTCTGCGTGTACCAGTTTTTCCATTCTCCTACGGAAGGACCTCTTAGTTGCCTCCAAGTTTTGGCAATTATGAATAAAGCTGCTATAAACATCTGTATGTTTTTGTGTGGACATAAGTTTTCAGTTCATTTGGGTAAATACCAAGGAATACAACTGCCGGATCATATGGTAAAAGAGTATGTTTGTAAGAAACTGCCAAAGTATCTTCCAAAGTGGTGGTACCATTTTGCATTCCTGTCAACAGTGAATGAGTTTCTATTGCTCCACATCCCCACCAGATCTGCTGCTGATGGTGTTTTGGGATTCTGGCCATTCTAACAGGTATGTAGTGGTGTCTCGTTTTTATTTGCAATTTCCTAATGTCATGATATTGAACATCTTGTCACATGTATGTTTGGCATCTGTGTGTCGTCTTTGATGAAGTATCTGTTCAGATATTTGGCCTAGTTTTTAAACGGACGGTTAATTATCTTACTGTTGAGTTTTAAGTGTTCTTCATACATTTTGGGTAACAGTCCTTTAACAGATACATGTTTTGCAGATATTTTCTCTGAGTCTGTAGCTTGTCTTCTCATTATCTTGATGTTGTCTTTTGCAGAGTGGAAAGGAGGGTTAAGAATTTGAAAAGTAACAGAGTTGATTAGTAGAAAGGATGCTGCCAATGGTAAAGATACTTCCAGAGGGCCTTAAATCACAGTTGAGGATTTTATTCTGTGTATCATAGATCTTGGTCATAGAAACATCTGAATAAATTTGTGTGGTAGAATGGCTAAGGTTATAGGCTTTGTCTGGGCTACTAGCAACTCTTCAAAGCAACTGGAATATAGTTTAGAAATGGTATGAAGTGGACCCAACTTCTTCCTGAGGGATGCTTACACAAGGACCATTTATTCAGTAATAAACCATTGCTCTTGCTTCCTGAATTAGGTTTCTCAAGGAGTTATTCAATTTTATTGACATTTTCAAAGCACAACTTTAAGATTTATATGTCGTTTCTATTTTTTTTTCTTTTTTATCTTTTATCTTTTTTTTTTTTTTTTTTTTTTTTAGATGGAGTCTCGCTCTATTGCCAGGCTGGATGGAGTTCAGTGGCATGATCTTGGCTCACTGCAGTCTCCATCTTCCGGGTTCAAGCAACTCTTCTGCCTCAGCCTCCCAAGAGATGGGACTACAGGCGCCCACCACCACACCCAGCTAATTTTTGTATTTTTTTAGTAGACACAGGGTTTCACCATGTTGGCCAGGATGGTCTCAATCTCCTAACCTCGTGATCCACCTGCCTCAACCTCCCAAAGCACTGAGATTACCAGTATGAGCCACAGTACCTAGCCTTTTCTTTTCTTCTTAGAGACAGGATCTTGCTCTGTCACCCAGGCTAGAGTACAGTGGCATGATCATAGCTCACTGTAGCCGTGACCTCCTGGGCTCAAATGATCCTCCCACCTAAGGTCCCAAGTAGCTAAAACTATAGGGGCATGCCACCAGGCTGGTCTCGAACTCCTGGCCTCAAGCAATCCTCCTGCCTTGGCCTCCCAAAGTGTTGGGACTACAGGTGTTGGCCACCATGCCTAGCTCCCTCTGTATTGTATTTAAAAATATTTTTCATTGGCCAGCACAGTGGCTCACGCCTGTAATCTCAGCACTTTGGGAAGCCAAGGCAGGCAAATCACTTGAGGTCTGCAGTCTGAGACCAGCCTGGCCAAACATGGGAAAAACCTGTCTCTACTACAAATGTAAAAATTAGCTGGGCGTGGTGGTACATGCTGTAATCCCAGCTACTTGAGGCTGAGGCACAAGAATCGCTTGAACCCAGGAGCCGGAGGCTTCAGTGAGCCAAGATTGCGCCATGGTACTCCAGCTTGGGTGACAGAGTGAGACTCTGTCTAAAAACGTATTTTTTCCTTTGTTTTTCAAACATCTTTCATTCATTTTAACTTTAATTTGGATCTGTTTTGTACTATTGATTTTGTTCTTTTCCTAATCATAATTAAAAGTATAACTGGGTTTTTAATTTTAGTCTTTCATAATAAAAATATTTAATTAAAGTTACACATTTTCCTTTGATTTTAGCTTTAACTGCACTCCATACATTTTGGCATGAAATTTTCTCCTTGTCATGAATTACTAGATTGTAATTTGTTATTTTCTCTTTGATCCATTGGTTATTTAGAATTTCTACTAGAATTTCCAAGTAGTTAAGGGTTTGTTTTTAATTAATTAATTAATTTTTTTAAATTTAAAATTGCTTACCCCTAATTTTATTGGCATGTGACCTGAGACTATGACCTAGAAAAACATACTTTTGAAAACGTGTTAGTTAGATGTGATCATGTGCAAGATTGATTTTTGAAGTGGTTTCATCAATATAATTTTTTTTTTTTTTAGTCATAGGGAATGAAATTGTGTGTGTGTGTGTAACTGATTTGCTGTCAATTACACTCTACCTGCTGGAAAAGGTCTTTGTGCAGCGGAGATCTGTGGGGGGTGGTGAAGGCTCTAGTGCTAGTTCCAAAGTGATGCCCTCGCCCTCTCCTACCAGGATTCCTTAGATGTTGCTGAATAAATGTTTCACAATTTGTTGTAAGCCTTTTGGTCAATCTCTAGAGATGCTGCGTGATTGCTTTTGCTAATTTTGACCAGTTTAATAGATGTCTTTCTGGGGAAGAGGTTTCCCTGAGCCTCTCATGTGGCTGTTCTGGAATGTAGCCCCTCTGGGCTCTCCGTGTTCTGTCCCATTGGCCTCCTCGTCTGTCCGTGTGCCAATACAACATAGTCTTATTTTATTTAACTCTGATATCTGATAAGCACTCCTACCATATTCTTTTTTTCTGATATCTTTTGTATTTTTATATCAATTTTAAAATTAATCCAAGTTCCATTTTTAAGAACCTGTTGGAATTTTTGGGACTGCATGGAATAGAATAGATGGCTTTACAGTATTGAGTCTTCAGTCCAAGAACCCAGCACATATCTTCATTTAAGGTTTTCCTTGATGTTTCCTAGTTTTTAACTTGTTATAAAAAGTTTCAGATATACATGAAATCAGAGGGAACAATCTGGACTCTCGTATATGTCACCTAAGTTTAACAATAATACTTTGCTATATTTGCTTTATATATTTTTCCTTCGCTGAAATATTTTAAAGCAATTCTGCTATCATACTTGACTCCTCGATGCTTTCAATGTGTATCTCATTTTCTTTCATAATCTTAATGTCATTATATCTAACAAACAATTCTTATTTTAAAATTCATTTGCTCTTTTTTGCTAGTATACTTATATATAGATGTTTTTATATTGAATGTATCAGCAACCTTACCAAACTCTCAAAATTCTAATAATTTACTATATTTTGATATATCTAATATGCCAACAATTTAGCAGATCCACCATTTATGTACCATTATTCTTAAGAAGGCGTCTAAATTATGACTCAAGATCTATTGTGAGATGCAGCCCAATTCCAGAGATGTTCAAATATTGTAAAATGTGTCTTGGAATTGATAAGACATGGTATCTGTGGATTCTTTTGGATTTTCTATATAAATAATCTTATCACCAGCAAACAATGAATTGTGTTTATTTCTTTCTCATCTTGTACCTTTGTGTCTTTTTCTTGCCTGGAGTTGGCTAGGGCATT